TGTGACAATTTTTAAATAATGTTGGTCTACTTGTTTAATGAAGTTGTTTTAATTCGTGAGCTTTGCTTTTTCCAGGCCCAGTGGCTGCTGATAGTTCTTAGTTTGTCAGGTTCATTAAAACAAACAAGAGCAAGTCTTTGGCACGTCTGAGACGTAGTTAGCGCGTTGATTGTTTGAGCAAGAGCATTTTGTGATTTGTTTGACTGCGGATTGGAAAATTCTAATTCGATAAACACCAAGACAACTTGAATCGGGAACACTCTGGAGGTCAGAGGAGGCAGTAAAGTGACAAATTTTAAATCAAAATCGATTAATGCTTAATTCATCAGCCCATAGATAACACCGGCATTAATCAAGAAATCTCGATGTCGAGGTGCGATCTCATAATTTCGAGCCAATTCTAAGAAGGGGAAATTTTAACCTGGGAATAAAAATCAAACCATATTTGCTTCTAGCAGAGCCTTGTCTCGTATGAAACCCTCAGGAAAAAGTCTTTCGTTTCAGTCAATGCAGTTGACTTCATTAATGTCTGTGGAAATGCTTTTGAAGTAATTTTTCGGCATGACTGGAATGAAGAGTGATCGTGTTGGTTGCACATCCAAGTCCTGACAATGTCGCCAGCACCAGCCACGTTTTACGCAGCAACAACAAAATGTGACCAGGAAGTGATAAAAACTTCCATCCTGTGTTGTGGGGTCACCTTCAGTCGCAGTCTGATGCCCACATCGAACGGATTGCAAAACCCATCTTCTTTAAAGAAGCAGCATCAAAATAAACATCATTACAAAGCTTTCCTTCGTACTTATTATAAAATATCTGATGAACCTTTACGCGATGATGCAACCTTTAATGTGCTTAAATTTTCATGTTTCGAAAAAAAAGCAGCTTATTTTGCAGCCTCAGAAATCCATAATGAAAAGGCGTGAAAGGTATTTGAAGCAAAACGAGATAGTGGAGGTGTCACAAAACTTATAATAACGCACAAACCTAGCGGAGTGTCAATTCCAACCTGACGGCTAGACATGGGGGTAGTAAAAACCACTTTTTCAATGTTAACATTCGTAGGTTGTGTGGTTTGAGAGCTCGGTTCGACAACCGCGAAATCGGACAGGGGAAGTCATGGGGCGAATTGGAGCGGTTATTTATGTCCTGAAGTCAGAGGAGTTTCTACCACCAACTTCAAATGGGACGGTGTGATGACACATATGACGAAGTGCGGTGAATCACTTAGTGAGGCATCTCCCGCGCTCACCACTTGTGTTCCCGTTGAGGGAGTGAGGCGGCGGCCTACATCACTGACTAGACCTTCACAAGTTTCTTCCTTCAACACTAAGTCTAAAACCATGAGCGTGCCGCATGTCCCTTCATGAAATATTATCACCTCGACGCTAATCACAGCTGTAGACTGGAGAAACTGGGTTATTGGAACCCGTGGGACGGACCTTGCATGAATCCAGTGCATATTTCTGCTATACTGAGGGAATTTAGTAGAACTTTGATTCGCCATACTGCGTGGGTTAGGCCAACTGCCATTCTGGCTTGCTTGTCCTTGCCGATGTCTACTGTCCTGGTAAGATTACCTCCATTTCGCCAATCAGAAATAGCCAACTGAAGCGTCATGCTCTTCATACCGGACAGCTGTGAACCAAGTCCACTGGGATTCTGGAGAAAACTTACTTATTGCTGCATTCCTAGCTACGGCTATACTAGCCTTCTCCCGAAATTTACGGAGCAGAAGAGAAACAACTTACCCACTGTAAAAATTTCCACAAACCAGACAGTGGCCCCCTTTGATTGGCGCTACAGTGATTCACCCCCTTTTTCAGTGATCTGTGACTAAACCCACCGATGTTTCTTTTTGCAGAAACATTCTTGCGACAGAACAGTTTCAATTGCGTTAATACTGCTGAAGGATTGCGCGCTGGGTGGAAAAGGACTAGAAGTTAAGCCGAACGAAGAACACCTTTCATTCAATTGTTCTTTGGGAGTTCGAAAAGAACTTTCGTACGCGGTTTTAACTCCCACCACACTCAAAAAGATGATATTAGCTTTTAACTTTTGGGTAATTGAAGCAGACTAGTCTAAATGGGTAGTTTTTTTAGCTTTGCAAAGTGAACCTGAAGCTTCCATGCGATGGTCCCAAATTCGACGACGTCGAACGTTGCAAGATTGCTTTGAATCACTCTCACTAGTTTGCTAGCGATCCACACTCGTTAACTCAATCAATATTATTCATACCACTTTTTAAATGTGTACTCACAGCACCCCTATCTCTGTTGCTAATTCCCACCTCACACTGCACGACACAACTCGTCCTAGTGGCTTAGGCTTAGTGAGTGAAATTGTCCTCCTTCCTTCCCTCAACTTCCCGTCGTCGTTCAGATCACATGGAGGGACATCTTTATCATAGGTGGGGGTAATTCGACCTTTTGCAGGGTGCTGCAGTCTGGTGTGCTAAGACCGACAATTCCTTACTAAGGATTCGCAGACATGATTGTTGGACGTTGTGAACCAGACCGTCATCTGCAATTACCTGACCGACGCCTCTCCAAATTTTGAGGATGGATTTCCGTGAAAGGACATAAAATGGGGTGACACGAGTCCATGCCAAGAAGCTTGTTGTGAACCCCAGCATGTGGTCTTGAACCACGCCGGGGCCACGGAATTAACCCTGGCCCGACTACGCTTGCCTGATACCCGCGATGAAGGTAAAGGCCGGAGAGGACGGACACAAGCGTCTCCTTCAGAGGTCAACCACGTTGGTGTCGTTGTGTCGGGTTTGCGCGTGTGTATTTATAGCTCGGATGTGTGAGTCATACATGCGCTAACATCGAGACCTATGTGTGGGGACACTCCAAGATAAATATTCGGGCCGATGAAGGGGGAGTTGAGGATTCGCGCGGCTGGGGACATGCTGCGACAAGGGGAACCCTGTGTAGGAGGTGGAGCGACCGGATTAGGGAATTGAATAAACAGGATTCACGGCAAGCTGGAGAAGACGAACACCACAGTCTCTAGATGGATACGGAGTCTAAGCACCACAAGAGAGATCGGCCGGACATTTCTCTAATGGTATACTCATTGACTGATTTTGGTCTTTTAGATGGCTTTGATAAGTTAAATGGGTTATTTTGAAGCAAAAAAACGTTGAAGAGATGTGATTCAGAGGGAATAGTGGAAGCCGGTCGACATGGTGCCGCAGGCGCTCACCTACTTCCACGGCCGCCAGTGGAACTAAAGCACTCACGCGATGCGCGTGCGTGTGTCCGTCACACTACTGCCGCGCACATTTTGAAGTGCGCATGACCTCCGCCTCTGATTGGCTAATCCCAAGTCAGTGTAGATAAAAAAGTGTGGGGTGTGTTGCTACCGTTCATTCGTGAAAAGGAGTCGGGCGGTTGGGCTGCTGCACGGACCCCCTTGGATTATTCAAATTCCCACACTCAAGGTAACCCTGTTTTCTTCCTTTGGACCATAAGCATTGTAAGGATATCGTATCATTAGTGGTTAACAATCACGACAATAACATTAAATCGTAATTCACGATTTAGGAAAACGCGGGTTTGTAATATCTAGGAGAAAGTCATGCGTGGAAGTTGTTTAATAAAGACATGCATGCCACTCTGGTCCATTGGAAATATTATGATTTAAGTCTCCGTGTTGCGAACCAGATGCGTGTAGCTTTTGCGGCATGTCGGTTGAGGTCAGCAGTTAAAAAATCTGTTCTTTTCAGAACTAACTAACCTCACCATAAATGAATGTATTTCATTTATTTCTGTGGTTTAATGCTTATTTACGCGTGTTAGTCTAGTTCTTCAGCAACCGTTAATTAACTCTAACATCAGAGTCCAAAGCAATGCGTCAATTCATCTTGCGGATTTAATCTGCCTAATGTCTGCCTTTACCAATATAGTATGAATTTGGCTGTGCTTCGATTCGTGTGACATGACGCGGTCATTATTAAATTTTCGTGTGATTTGACATCAGGAGTAAAGGCGATATGCGTTGTTCCATTGAAAGACGCTTGAATTACATTGGAGCGTGGGGTTCCATTGCAGTTGCTTAGAGTGTATCCCTTGAAGTATCTATCAATTTAATCGGAAAATCTTTTGTGGGAATTAGGCTTAACCTTAAAATGACCAATGGCATTTGATGTTATTGGAAAAACTAAGGAGACGATGCGGCTGGCAACTCACATCAGACGGACCTACAGGAGGCAAAGTAAATCCTTTTGAGTGAAAAGAACGATTCTTACCACTGTTTTACTGACCAATAGCAATGGGCTTCCAATGGCCCGATGTGGCGGGCTATCGAAAGGTTTTGTGGTTTCTCTGATTGGTTAAAATATTTCCCCCTTTCGGATGTAGACCCCAGAGTGCACACAGTTACCACGACCCAAACCATTAAATTATGCTAAGTCGATTTTATTGATTTTCTTCACGAGCTCACACCGCAAGCCTGTGCCCGACTTGATGGGTTCGCGTTTGTGAGTGCGTTTGGGTACTTAAAGTTGTTCATTTTTGCTTGAATTTTGACCTGCGTTCTATATTTCGTTAGAAAAAAAATTATGCCACATTGGGAATGTGCTGCCTCCAACGCGTCTAGCTAGAAAACCAATTTATATACTGACTGTTTAAAAACCATGCGATAAGTTTGGCGATAAAAACAACTGTAGTAAGTGTCGTGTCTTTGTGTGAATAATCGTCTTTGTTTAAATTTACCGCAAACGGGGTTGTCGAATCTTGAACAAGACAAGGTATTACTGACCATTAATCGGTGATCCTCGCCACCTTAAATAAACTGTAGAGCGCGTTTACTACTTCAAACAGGCCTAAGTGAATCCTTGTAGGTAATGAGACCAAGTAAGGTGGGGTACCTGACATACGGACGCTGTGTTGTCGGCTGTGTGTGTCGTGTCTTCCTGTTTATCATAAATCATCTCTTAAACCATTAGACCTCAGTCAAGCTGCTGAAGTTGTGTGTACACAAGTGAACAGGCAATGGCTAGCCTCGAGGAGATCTTTGAAAAGAACATCACCGATGATGCTGCGAAGGACGAGGTCTACCGGATCATGTACGGCGGACGGCTTAAGTAAGTCTTTGAGTTGACAGCATCCACAGTCTCCAGGGCTCTTCAGCTGCCGTTCGACAGGTGTCCAGCCGGTGACTGCACCGCAAAGGTGGCCGGCTACGCTTTCAAACGCGCTAGCGAGCAACTTCGCGCGCCTAGAATCGTTCGAATTGGTGCGATTCAGCACAAGATAGCCGTCCCACCCAATTTGCCAGTTAAGGACCAAATTTCAGCGGCCCACAAGAAAATCGGAGACCTGATTGACGCTGCGGGCGCTTGCGGTGTGAATGTGCTCTGCTTGCAGGAGGCGTGGAGTAAGTTAGCGGTTTCCTGAATGCCCCTTTTTTGCAGCAATGCCGTTCGCCTTTTGCACCAGAGAGCGTATCCCCTGGTGTGAGTTTGCCGAGAGCGCGGAATGCGGTCCGACGACCAAGTTCCTCTCAGATGTGAGTTGAAGTTGCCCTCACCTATGCGTTGACTTTAGTATGCGAGGAAGTACGCGATGGTAATCGTGTCTCCAATCCTGGAACGAGATCATGAGTTCGGAGAAGTGATTTGGAATACAGCTGGTGAGGACTAAATCCACAGCTTCATACCTTTTTTCCTTATTTAGTTGTAATCGATCAAAATGGGGAGTTCTTGGGAAAGTCGCGAAAAAACCATATTCCTAGAGTTGGAGATTTTAATGAGGTATGTGTTTCTTGTTGAGGCTCACCCTTTACCTACGTTTACAGTCAACTTATTACATGGAAAGCAACCTCGGCCATCCGGTGTTTGATACAATCTATGGTGAGTGTCACTGTTCAGGCATCCTTTACTCCTCTTGAGGTGCTCGTTACTGCTGTAACACGCTAGCTGTTAGTGAGCTTTACTAACTTTCCCTAAAACTAATCCCCTTTAATGCAAGATGGCTTTTGTCTCCTTTGAAGATTGTCGAAAAAACTAAACAATCGCTTAAATCACTTAAATCGACCCTAATTTCACCGTCAGCCAAAGTGGGGTGAACGTGAATAAAATTGAGACGCCAGTGTTCCCTCCTTTTCAATCTTGAACTTCATTGTGGTGACACGGCAGCATGCATTAATTGAGTCGATGCGAAACGAAGCAGGCCACTTTCATTCATTTTACTTGCGAGATTTTCGATTAATCAAATCTGCTGTAATTTTTATGAACCTGGTTTTCCCGCTCTACCTCTTTTTAGTAGCTCAAGTGTTCGTTTAGTTCGAGCCGATTTACCGTGCGTAAAGTGGACAAAAAGTTTGCGTTTTGTTAGTGCAGCGTCTACCATTAATCCTGGCCCTGTCTAGGTGTGTCACGACCACCCTTCTTGCACTACCGTATTCACTAATCCGCAGAACGCCTCCTAAGTTTTCAAACTTGCCAAAATCGGTAGTATGGTGGTTGTCGGATCAGCGTTTTTTTATCATGCTGAGAATGTGGCAGTGTTCGGTTCTGTAAAAAAGGATTCAGGCAATTTAGAAGACACTTCTTTTCCTGCCCTAAAGTCAACCCATTAAAGTCCAATCCCTTTATATCAATGGGTACCTTTAACACAGGAGAGGACATTTGTGCCGACACCTTGTAAACAATTAACAGCAGAAATAAGAAATCTGACATTTTTGTGAGTAGGTAGTTTCTTCAAACATAGAATCATTGAGTTAACTCCCTAATCCTTTTAGGTAAAATTGCAATAAACATTTGCTATGGTCGACACCACCCACAGAACTGGATGATGTACGGATTGAATGGCGCCGAGATTGTGTTTAACCCGAGCGCAACCGTCGATGGCCTAAGGTATGCTGTGTTCCGCCCTGCATAGTCCGATTTCGAGAGCAGTGCTTTCGCAAGTGCTGTTTTATCTAACACTTGTCGAAATTCAGGAAGTTAATTGTGTCGCCCTGATTTCGATTCAGAATTTACACTCAAATCGTAGATCCTTGGGTTTGAATTAGTGAAAATGGGAGGGTTTTGAATGGAGTAGTCGCTGTAAAGCAGACGTCTACTGTAAGGCTTCTATAATCGTTTTCACGAATTGTCAGATTCTACGGAGAGCAACACCTAGTCAAATGTCGGACGACTCTCGTGAAGATGCCCGCCTAATAAGAGGCACTAATGGTTAATTTGATACACTGGGGAGTACTCGGGTCATCAGGGCAGTCGGTTAAATTCGAAGTGATTTTGTGTTGGAATGACGCCAGAAATATACGACTGTCTCAACCGTAACGGGTCTCCTGCGGGAAGCTGCTCCATTGGGCTTCTTTGCTGCATATCGCAATGCCTCGTGACGTGTATTCAAGGGGATTGGTGTTGGCCAGACAATCCGCACAAAACAATTCCATATGAACCGACGCCTATCGAGGAACTTTAATTAGCGCAGTTGGGCCGGTTTCGAATCACACCCTGTATGCATAGTAAACAGTGGAATACACACCCAGGCGTTCGGTCGCAGCACCGAACTGGCACCGTGACTGCAATCTTATTTGTGAACGACTTTTAGGCGAAGCAAGTCGTTCAACGGTGTCAAATAGGCGCAGGATTACCACCCATCCGAATGTATTTAATCATGGATACATTAGCATCATTATCAACCATGTGTTATTGTTGACAATACGTAAGTGGTGTTTGAATTGATAAAACCAAAAAACGACACACCACCCCCATTTCCCCATGCTTCGAAAAATGGGTTAAATTTGGCATCTGTTTCGAGCGTTTCTTGCGGCTAACGCTGTTGGCTGCTGACAGTCGGGGTTACTCGAATAAAAATCAGAACAGACCAATGCGCATGGGTGGCCTTAGCGGAAGAATTAAAACAAACGTCTGCCTGTTTATTTAAAGTTAATTTTCTGGCAGCAAGTGTTGGGATAAATTCTTTACGGCATTGTCAACTGTAGTCACCAGTCCGAAGGCGTTTTAAGTTCAAAATCGGCACTGAACCGCCAACCCAACTGACGGTGTTTTTGTATTTAGTTATAGATTGTTAAGAGCGCAATTTAGCCAAAAAAACATGTGTACCAGACTGACTGATTCCGTGCAAACGATGTACTTTGTTGTCGGTCGTCCAGTCACGGAGTGGTTTGAGGGTTTTCGCTGATTTGTCAATCTTGTTTGCCATTTTAGTGAATCTCTGTGGCCGATTGAAGCACGTAATGCTGCTATCGCAAACAGCTATTTTACAGTTGCTATCAATCGCGTTGGCGCGGTGCGTTTCAATTGTTGTAACCGTCTTGGCTGTTTGTTTTTTTTTGGCGAGTGCTAAAAGAATTCTGTCAGGGGTAGTACGCCTAGGACAGATTAATTGCAGTTTTGAAATTAACATTTCAGGAGGAATTCCCGAACGAGTTCACAAGCGGAGACGGCAAGCCAGCTCACAAGGCCTTTGGACACTTCTTCGGCTCGTCATACGTCACTGGTCCTGACGGTGTTCGAACTCCCGTAGGTGAATTTGTAATCTTTCCTTCTCCCCATGGTCTTATGGTGACCGAAACTCAGCCGATATATCTCAGCTTTTACCGTTTTTTTTTACCAATTATCCAGGTAAATTAGAAAACTTAGCATGATATCAGGTCAAAATAACTAACATGAGCGATCGTGGCAAGCACTTCTTCTGCCGTGGTAATTTGCTAGTGATGTCAAACGGTATCAGTCGGGTTCACCTCACAACCTTTAAAATAAAATCTTTTTTTCGTTCAGAACGAATAAGTTTCCCCTGTAATGTGAAAATATCTCTAAACCCATCTGGTACAAAAAAAATAAAGACGGTGGAAACGTTTTTGGCTTCAATGGTTAAAATTTACCATCCCAAAATTTGACTTAATGCCTCGTGAATCCAAGTACTTAGTGTTTAATAATTAGAACGAGTTTTTTTGCATAGGTAGTCTCATAACTGCTTTTGCTTCACCAGGGCCTTGATCGTGTTTCCGATGGCTTGCTGGTTGCTGAGGTCGACCTGAATCTGTGTCGCCAAGTTCGTGATCACTGGGGCTTCAGGGTGAGATTTTTTCACATTCTTGTTTTTATTTTAGTGCCAAAAAAATGTAAATCATTGTCATCTCGTTCTTCTAAAGATCACTTTCCAATCATTCCTTATCGAGTCAGTATCAATAACCAGCTTTGTCGCTTACAGCGACTTTAAAAAGGAAACATTTTTTTGCGTGCGAATCAGCTGCTCGTTGTGACAATCTGACGCCATGTGGTCACATTTGTGCGGCCAAGCTGTGACACCAATATTTTCCGCGTCTAAAATTGGTACCCAAGTCGGATGCTGGGAGAAGCCGCAATTTCACTTGAAAGTCTCACCAATTATTCGGTTTTAAAGTGGGTTGGTCCGTGTGCTTGATTATCAGTGACAGGTACCCCACCGAATCATTTCCTGACTGTAATTTTACTTAAAGCAAGAAATTGGCATTAGCTGGAAAACTGCCTCACTTGGAACATGCTTAGTTTCAATTTCTTTTCAACTGATCAAAAGAGCCTCTTAATGACACCTCGAAATGCTACGATTTTCCGATATGCCTTATTGAATGCTTTGCTCCAAACGCTACAATCACAATTTCGAAACGCAATTTGTTGGCAGAATAATGTAAAATTTGACCTTCATTTGATGGTGTTTTACGAGACCTTTTGATACCACGTGAGTCCGGAACTCGGTTATCATTATTGCTTAACTTCCACAATCATTCTGAGATAGTTTGGGGTGTGTTGTTTGAGTTTGTGCAAGCTGCTGCAGTATTTTCGTTGAACCGCACGGAGCACTTCGAAATTCAACTTTTAAGCTAGTGAATTCCCTCCCGAATCCCAAATTTTACTACAAGACTTGCACAAGACCCGAGTGACTACCACTGGCATCACCGTATAATGCTCTTTTTCTTCATCTCTCCTAACGGTTAAAATGAAAAAGAAAAACATTTTTTTTTGATAATTTTCATGCTGTTTTTTTGAAGTATTAATAAACATGGATTAGTCGCTCTCACCATTAATCAATTTCGTTTTTCCAACCAATCACGCCACAGATGCACCGGGTTCTGTGAAGTTGTCAACGTTAGAACCTTTTGCAATCTGTCTTTTAGCTGACGCAGCGAATCGACCTGTACGCCAAAAGCCTCAGAAGGTATGCGCTTAAGGCAGGCTACGACGTCTCCGATTGAGTCCTCCACTCTAGTGGTCCTCCTCTGACATTTTCGTATTCAAATTCAATAGTATTCTTTAGTCACTAGAAATTTTGCAAGTCTTTCTCACTATGGCGTTCTTCTGATCCAATTAGCACAGATTTGGGAGAGGGTGGTGAAGCGGCCCCAGTGCACCAACCGTTGGCGTGGGTTTCGCATTGTGAGGTTTCGTTTTGTGCGCGCGGTGTGAAGGGGAGCCCCCAGGGGGTACTCGGGGTACTTCAGTGTTGGAATGACGTCAGAAATATGACTCCCTTCCTTAGTGTCAGTGCACCTCCTCAGACGTTTTTGATTCAAAGCGAAGTTGCAGAACACCACAATCCTGATAACTGACAGCCTGTAGGGTTCGATAATAGAGAAGGCGATATGTTTTGAACTAGATATGATGTGCCATTCTGTGTATGCGTGCTGATAGAGAACTTAGAAACAGACCAGTTAAAAGCAACGGTTTTCATCACAGGCACCAATCAACTTGGAATAAGCCAGTTCGAACAATCTGCGCGTGAGCCTAGGATGACAATCTACAACATAGCTTCCCGACTACTACTACTACATAGTTCCCTAGGAAATCAAACTCATAATTGGTCTGGGAGGTTAATCAAAGTTGGGGAGGGACTACCACTTCTACTTAAACACTGCTGACCGGTATCTGACAATTGCCCATTCCCGGGGGTCCATTTTGACTTTGTTCCTCTGAGTACATTTTGACAGCCATCAATCTTGGACCTGCTTATTTGGTTTGAAATTTATTGACGAAATAAAAAGCTCAATCACTAAGCTCCAGCGACCAGCTGGGTAAAACAAAATGTTTGTTAGCGTTGAAGAAATGTTTGGTAGGTTGTTTGAAGACAGGAAAATCTAACGAACTTGTTCAATCAGTGTATATAAGGTTAGTCAAGCAAGATGCATATTATTTCTCTATTCTCCATGCAAAAACGGCACTGATATATACCACCGATTTTCGGACAATGCCGTGGTTGGGTTTCCACATGAACGAATTCATAGAATTACTGAAAAAAGTGAAACATCTTGTCCAAGGCGCATCAAAAGTGACGATCTTGAGGCGGTAAGTGAATGCAGAGTAAGCAACGACATGTGAATGGGTAAACTTTTAAGAAAGCAACTCTTCTTAGTTCAAGGCAAGTGGAGTTTGTTTATTCTGGCACAAACGATGTCGGACCCGGCCTTCCAAACTGTGACACGGTTGTCGGCATTTTGCCATTGCCGTTCATGTTATCTGTGCTGAAGCTGTATGCAGCAGCAGACGCATGAGATGAGCTTCAAAGAAGATGGCTTAGACGGGTAACTCAGTGCACTGCCTCATCCACAGTATTCAAAACTGCTCCGCTTACTGCTTAACCATGCAACCATTCTGAGCCTGACTCACGCCAAAAATTACACCAGTATCATGCACCGAATTGAACACATTTCTGGTGTTTCAGACGTGGTTTTCTGAAGTTTATCGCTTTGCCATCAGGTATGAAAAACACGGGTCTCATGACAACGACATATTCCGCCAGTGACGTGTCGTCACATCTGCAGATGACCGCGAGAATAAGAAGCTTAGAAGAAACGTGGGCCTGCACAAGACGTGCCATTTGTGCAATTCGATCAACCGCTTAGCTGACTTAAAACCAGATTATTCATACAAGAATGTTATCTAGAAGAGAAAATTAACAAATGAAGAAAGACTGCAAGCAATACCTTTCGTCGACATATTGAATATTTCAGCCAAGGGACCATTTCAAAGCTACTGGTCATTCCACAGCAGCCCTAAATTTACGCTGGAACGTCCTTGATAAGCAACATGTGTTTTCGGGCGAACGACGGTCACGCAAAACATTGACGTAGTTTGTCCTCAGTGGTCGTTGAGTCACTTAAATTCGTTGAGCTACTACAAAAAAAATCGAGATGAGAACTAATTAAACAGTGGGAAACAGACGAGAGTACTGAAAAGAATTACTAGCTGAAGTGGGAGTTGAGGGATTCTGTTCACTAACTGCTACAGAAGGTAAATTCTATGGATCTGGATGTGTGAATAAATAGGGGAAAATATTTAAGTTAATCTCACGATTTTTTTTGAGGGAACCCCAAAAACCAGAATAATTTCTTATGGTAGCATTTCAGTTTCTAAAAAAAGGCGTGTTAAAACAACATTGCTCAACGTAAAACTGGAGATGTCAGTTTTAAATCGTTTTTTTTTTAAACTGGGATTATCGATTTTGCAGTGATTGGGCAAATCAGCTGAAATGAGCAACAAAATTACCGTTTATTGCCTTCTGACTCTTATTTTAAGCTTCGCTTACTCATGGAGTCCTCACAATCTATTCACATGGTCCTCTGATAAAAGTAGCCACGTCACCTATACACACAGACTACTTATTAATCGGCCAGTACAAATTCCATGTTTCAAGTCTACTGACACTCCGCCCGATCATTCACATCTTAATTCTACCATCTACTGGAGTCACAGAGGTTTCAAACTCACTGCCACAGAGAGTCCATTTCTGTCTGCGTACTGGGACGATTTGGGGACCCTCATTATATCCTGCATCCTCCCCCGACAAATCAACCTATGGTGCCATTACAGGGGTCCCAACGTCTCCTCACTTTTCGTTCACCGAATCGACTTCACTGAGGCCACTTTCACGCAGACTATTTTCGCAGTCGACATAAACGCCAGCCTGACGACCAACCTCTCCAAGGCCTACCAGGAATTTCTCTACAGCCAAAAAAGCAACTGCGGTGTCCAACTGCAAGGCGGGGGGTTAGCCGTGCTCAAGGGGGCACCCAACATCGATCTGACGCGTGCGGTTTATCAAAAGAGAGTTGTCCTAGAAGCCGCACTGGACGCCTGTGAGGCTGGCTTTGACTGCTTGGGTGTCAGTTTGGACTTTTTTGAGTGCTGGGTCAATATGGTCCGGAAGACGGCCCTCTACTCAATTGACTTCAGTATTATGCACACAGTCGATGTTGGCGTTTTCGTGAATGACGATGGCTTTGCCTTGGACACACAGATCCAGAAGGTAATTTTGGTTCTTCAGTTTGCAACCGAAAACTACCATATGTCGCTCCCTATTCGCTAAGTAATCTACTTTACTTCGACTTGGAATATTGATCCTCGTTAGGGAATCAATCACATACAAGGTCGTCTAATGATGTTTATATGATTTCATTTTTTCTTCTAGATAAAATGACAGCTTCTACTTCAAGAGGAAGTTGATAGCGCCTAATTGAAGTCATAAGCGAAAAGTCGCATTAAGGTGTAATTAAGCCTGTTCGCATGTACTAGCCCTAATTAGTCTCTCTTTGTCCACTTGCAGTAACCTACTAGACTACCATAAAATAGCTATCTATAAAGAATTTTATGAGACGTGGTTATTGTTTTGCGGTCGTTAAATGTAACGAAAGTAAACGGATGTTCTGCTTTCGCAGGAATTACGTCTAATCAGTCAATCTGCAAGTAGAGTCTAAAAGTCAAAATTTACCATTAAAACTTCCTAGACCATCTCACGAGTGGTGATGGCTGTAAAGCGCACAAAACCAGGGATGGTGTCGTCAGGTTTCGGAAGAATGAAGAAAGCCGACGTGAGTCTCGAGTTGACCGTGCAGAATCGCACAGTGAGGACGTGCCTCGGAGTCGCCGGAAAACCACACAGAAGCTTCAAGGGGGAATGCGGTGAGTCATTTGGAAACCACGAAGGTGGGATCAAAAACGGTTTCAGGGATGGGGAATTTTCCCATTAGGGCTAATAGCGCAATAAGAGCTGAAATTCGAAGAATGACCTCCCAGACTACTCGGTTTTGAGCACTTGTAGATCCAAATGACCGACTAAGATTAGGCCTCGGGTCTGTACGAATTGTCCTATTTTTAAAGTAAACCTTAACTAAACTAACCCTTTTCCGTGCCCTTTTATGCCGCGATCGCTCAACAGTTGAGCGTTTTTTGATCAATCACCTTGCTGTGCTTTACTAATTGGTGATAATCACTTTTAAAGTGGATGTCTAATTCTACAATTTTAGTATGGAGTGGTCTGAGCTGCAAGTGATATTTTGACGTATTTGATCCCGGCGTTTTATCCAGTGAACCAGGTGATGCGTATGGCCTTAGGCGGATCGGTTTCATACTTATTGTGGTAATTGATCATAGATATCAGGTCAACCCGCGAACAAGCTTCATACATGTGTCTTCGTTGGACATCTCACCACATACTCATTTACAACTTTGATACGCAAGAGTTCTTGTGAATTTGATGGTGTTTATTATTAATGTTGTGGACCTATTCAGTGGGAATACGGGGACTACTCCCTGTAAAACCAAGCCAAACACCCGAGAAAACGTTTAATCGACAAAGTGAGCAGATTCCAAATTTAGTTGAGACTGAAATTCAAATCTAGTCTGGTTATTCACTTTACAACCATCATTACATACAGGACCGGTGTTGGAACTGGTACACTGGATGAAATAGGTATTTTACCATTGTGTTACAGTCTGGCCCAGTACCTGATGCAAATGTCGCTCAGCATTAAGCATTCTAGAATATGACAGTTTTTTTAAGGAAGCACCAGCGTAACAGTTATACCGCTGTTGTAGCACGACATGATTTCTTCTTTGCTACTGACTCGTGGGCCTAACACCCTCTGATTGGTTCCGTCCGGATTTTTTAGGAGGTCCTGTCTTTAATTAAACGTATGACTCGTCGTTAAAGGAGTGAAGCACACGTCTGAAGCTTCGTTGCCCAGTTCACTAATGACGAACAATTTTAGCTACACACAACTGAGCTCCCAAACCCGATATTGGGAATTTTGCGGTGCTATATTTGCAAGAACAAGCAAAGTTTGCTGTTGCAGTTTGTTCCTGTTGGAGAGGTGAGCTGTTCTGGTACCTTTTCAGATAAGATCCACCGAATCAGCCAACTAAATTATCTAATGGAAAGTGATTGTGGGTTCATTACTTCATTGAGATCAGGAGCGGTAGAGACTGGCAGGCCGAAATTATTTATTTTTCGCTAGTATCTGAATGGATACATGTAAGAAGATGATTTGGGTAGGCGTTATTTTAGGTCACAATAGTGAGACTCTGTGTGAGAGATTAAGATGGTTAATATAGGTGTCAAACTAAATCCAATAATCCGATATTTGTCATCTGATTAGCTCCGTAGGTGCGAACTCACGGACTCTGTTGTAACAGCAACACGCTTTGTTTGCGACATGAGTCAAACATCGAAAATTGAAATTTGTAGCTTTAACGTCATGAATAATCCGAAAAATCCAAAACCGTCTTACTAAAGTCTCACGAAAAATTCGAAAAAAAAACACGTTGATGCTTATTGAAACAGAAAACGAAGCTTTTAAGAAATCAGACAAGCAACATTTCGGCTACAAATTGTCTCAGAATTGACGTTTGTCGTTGTTAATGATAGGAAGCAAGTTCGAGTTGGGACCTAGAGGCTCTAAATGAATAACCCGCATCTGAAAGTGCTACCTGGTCTTCACGCCTGATCCTTCGACTAAAAATATGCAGGACCAGGATCACTAACTTGGATTAGGTGTGGTAGTGACCACACCAGCGGCCTTCGGATATTAAGGCATTCCAAATTCCAGATATAATTATCATAATAGACATCTGCTGACAAAATTCATTAGGACTGCAATGATTCTCAGCTTTCCTATGTTTGTTTTCTACTCCAAGTGTATTTATCCCCTACGCTTTGTTTAATTAAACGAGGTTTAGAAAGACAAATATATTGACAAATTTTGAGATCAAACTAATTACAAGTTGTCCCGTAAGTTGTAAATTGTTACCTCAATTTCGAACTGAAAGTGAATCGTAAATGCAGACCGTAAAGATTAAGAAGGGTTAGACCAAAACGCATTAGGGCATTGAAGACAGAAATCGTCATAATAACTATAAAATCATAATGGATTTTAATTTACCTGACACACACGAGGGGATTATAAGGACTGTTATCTTTGTTACAGTGCTCTGTCCGGCTGGTTCCTTTTCACGCGTGGATATAACACTGCCTCCACCTCCGGAAGAATCGCTTGATATGCAAAGCGGAGATCTCGATTCGAATCAGGAATTTCTGGAGAATGTCATGTGGCCCTACGCCGACTCTAGACCGTCCTGTCGCCCATGTCCGGCGTGCTCCTACGCCGAAACGCTTGGCAGACCCTCCTGTCTTCCCTGTCCCGCGTGGCACAGCACTCCAATTTACGGCAGTATCCCAGGCGAGGGCGGTGAATGGATAGATTCGGTCTGTCCCAGAAAGGGACGTCGTCACGTCCTGCTAAACGACTTCGTGAAGGAAACCTTCGGATACGAACCGGTGGGAAAGTGGTTTGAGGGGCTCTCCGAGTTGACTAGAGTCTCAATTTACGTCGTGGCCTTGGTCGTCTCCACCTTTGGCATCTTGGCTGCCATCGTGATTGTCTACCGCTGTATTGACGTTGCGGGGATGCTTTCAGCAGCAGCCCGCGAACTAAGACCGCTCTACTTAGAGGCGGCCTTAGTGTTACAGACCATGAGACGGATAGAACAAGGACGGAGAGCTAGGGCGGTGGCGAGACTTCGACAGCTGCTGAAAGAAAATCCCAACCGGTCTCGTGTTAGATGAGACTTTAGTCTCTAATTAAAGTCTTCCAGATAAGGACTTTCCTGTTGGTAAAAAATATTCACATCAGTCACGTCTGAAATTCAATTCTTCACAGGTTTTGACAGTTTAAACCGAACTTCAAAGGCATTGAGCAAGCCATTAGTGATAGTTTAAACGTTTTGCGTAATGTTTTTTCACTGCATGGGCGAATTCGGGGCCAAATAAAGCTAAATTCGAAGTCATTCTAACCCATCCAGTCTTATAAGTAAAGGCTTTTACGTGTCTGATGCCCCAAGAAAGAGCTAATTTTTGTGGAGTTCTGCAGGATTTGTCCATACTTATAAACGAATACCTAATCTTGTTTTTTAATCTTGGTGACATAAATTTAAATTTACCCATATTATTCAAAGAGAAGGTATTGTATGCAAGAACAGTCACTTCATTAGATCACATAAGGTTATCGTCTAAAGTGGGTTGGTTAAAGTCACTATTGAAGGGGAAGAGGGATTCGCCTGCGCCCATTAACACACTGACAATCCTGAATACACACCAAGCAACTGAACGAAGACGGGAATTCAGAAGCTAGTTCTGATTGGCTGAGATGGCACGCCCAAAGTGAATGTTGACGACAGGTTGTAGGCACATTATCTGACCATTAGTACCATAGTCAGAAACGGATGTGTCATTTTAGACACGGCCGATCGACCCAGCATTTCTTAGTGAATGGAATCGTCTTTGCCAGACGCTCAAATTATAAGTATCAGATCTCATCTGTTGATACAGGAGGTGCGAACACATCGAGACACCAAGGCAATTGAATCCAGTGTGCATGCTATTGAAGCACATCATTCAGTGTCTGGACTCTTGCTAGCAAAGTTGGAATGCGTCATTAGGATGTTTTTCGAACGAAAACCCACTTAAATTGGGGCGAAACGTTCCATGTGGAACAGAATGCGACTTGCGTTGGGTTAATTTGACTTTAAATATTACGAAGAATAGAATGAGACAAATTAGAGTATTTTGACGACAAGGAATGAGTGAGTGCTGAGCTAGGCGTGGTCGAATCTTCGAACGCATTTGGGCACACAATTTTTGAATTTTACAAAAGTCCAATAATATTTGTGGATGTTTTGCTGTATTTCTTTCACTTGTAATATTAAAAATATAGTTAAAACTCTGAGTAAATGGTAAACCAAGTTACACAAAAACATGATTTTATATGATCGAAATTTTTGGGCTGGTACATATTGCTAGTTTGTACATTAAATGAAATTGAAGAATCCAAAAAAGTGAGGACTAACCAAAAAAATCTAGGCCAACAAAAATATTTTCGATTTCTAATGGTGAGTTGGAGGCTGGCCGTAACACTCCCAAATGCCAAATTCCACGCGTGAGCTAGAATGGGCTCAAGTAATATAGGAACGTTGGTGACTTTGGTTAACGACTTGCTAAGCTACGCCACAAGTGAACACGGCCCTTGTAATTCAGACGATGGGTCCCCCTCATGGATGTGAAAATGGACGTGTTAAAACTACTGCTTCGAGAATTTATGCCATGTAAATATCGGAGATGTGACGACTAACCCGCCTGATTATAGGCCTCTTTCATTTACTCGCTGATAAACTGCAGCGTGACGCATCGGAGGAGGCTATTTGCAGACAGAATACGCGTTGTCTTGCTTTCTTGGTCGAGAGCCCAACGGATCTGACATTTGCCAACCGTCAATCAAATTAGCGGATAGTCCATCATGGAAACATTCTTTTTCTTTCTACCAACGTTTGTATCGGCTTTTAGGCTAATGAAAATTACTCATCACGACAGGACTCCGTTTTGTTCACTTTGTCCACCGATGATTAAGTTGAGCACTCATTTACCAGAGCAATCTTGCAGAGTATGAATTAATGCGAAACACATCTCACAACAGCTAAATAGATTGACACTTGACTTCACTAGCCATCTTTTTTGTATACAGATGACCAGAATTTGTGAGCCCTATTGCAGATGGGCGAACAGTCAGAGAAAAAATTACTTTTAAAAAACGAATCCTGGAACCAGCTACGCGTTTTTTCGAAAAATTCATGATGCAGACAGGATACAAACGGAGCGTCAACTTGTCGTAATTCCAATTTATACACATCATCGCACATGATTAAAAAGGTTGCCATTGGGAATATTCATAACAGCGTTGATCGTGATTTTGTTTCAGCCTATTACCGCGTTGTCCATTTTGTTGGTCGTGCAATGTGGACCTGTCGAGAGACCTTGCCGGAAGAGTTTAATTTACGTGGCTTGTCAGCGTCTGATGCACCCGAAAACTGAAACTTAACTGCTAGATCATGTCTATCAAGTAAAAACTCGTTAAAAGTACTGAACATGGGCTCGAAATGGAGCTCTCCGGTCCCCACTACTTTGTGAGATAAAGGTGCTAGTGATAGCTGTGTTAATCCTCTCTCTCTCTCATACGTGTACATTGAAAATCCTGATCGGATTATTAGTGACTCGCACCCACTTCTGTGCCCGTTTTGATCGAGGTCGATTTGCGTGAACGAAAGTGGGGCTACTTAAAAGTACTAAAATTTGAAAAACAATCGAAAAATCTTATAGGTTTTACCCAAACCCTGGCCAACCAAATCCTTTAGTGCCTCAGAAACTGAGAAATAGTTGTTTATAATAACAGTGCATAAACTGTGAAAGGGATTCGCTTACCGAGAAAAACAATGTTTTTCCACGTATAAGTGGGAACTATGAACGTGGATCAAAAAAGAGGGGCCCATTGCTTAACAATATTTGCGTAACTCAAATCATAACTGAGAGAGCCTGTTACAACACTAGCTGAAATTCGTCAAAGGCCGTAGGATGAATGGTTCATCAATGCATAAATTACTTTGTGTTAGGGAGGAACTGATTGGTACAACTATGCAATATATTTGGGAGGACTTGTGGCAGCTGAGTAAAATTAGGCTGGTCTGGGGCGCAGTCTTTGAATGAACAGCTCCGGTCAATATGCTTTGAAAACAGGGCCAAAACATCCAGGTACAGTTGAAAGTACTTGAGCAGGGCTTCCTTGAAATAGTGTCGGAGCATTGTCGAGCTTCACCAAGGTGGCATTTTGCACTCATTGCCACCACATTTTATTCAATTACAGTTATCTGTATGAAGGACGCGAAAGCATTTTTTCGTCTAAAATTTGTAAAAAAAAACTGCCGTATTTTGAATAAACTGGATAGGTCCAATTGTTAAGATGGGATTCTGGAGAGTGACGAATAAAAACGCATCCACAGCTTGGGAACTCACTCCTGCCAGCCTTGCTAACTCGGCGTTGTCGTTGCTTCCGTCAGACCTGCTTGTCATTGGCTGGCCACACGAAATCTCTAGCTTGCGATTGGCCAGTGATGTGCACACGTGATGGCCAGTAAGCGCGAAAACGCGTACGCACGCGCAGCCTAACCACCGATACCAGCTTCCCGCAGACGGTGACTGCGTCAGCTCCTGTTCGGTTGTCTTCTGTTGTGAGCTCTTTGTAAGGCGAGATGGCTACTGCTGGGCAACAATCGCAGCCCCCTTCATGGAAAGAGGAAGCACTGAGACGCAAAATCCAGAATGAGCGGTCGAAAGACGTTGAACGTCGATGGGAGCATTTAATTAACACCGGTGGCGCTGATGCTCCCGCCGAATGGATGCGGGAAACGGCCTTAAAGAAGAAGGCTGCCAGAGACAATTTAACTGCCAATGGCATTCCCCCCTGGATGCAAGAAATGACTCGTCGGAACAGCAACCTAACCAAGAAAATGCAGGAGGCCCAAAAAGTCGATGGAATCGACCCTTCCGAAAAGGCACCGGTAGCAACCAAACCGGAGTAATATTTCAAACCCCGTTTACGATCGGATGCAAACTCCACTTTGCTGGTGTGTTTGTGTGTTTTACCCACTTTTTCCTTTGCCGCATTGTACATCAGTTATCAGCTTCGTTTTCCCCCATTAACATTTATTTTTGTAGTTTGATTTTTCGAATACGTCATTGGACCTCACTTCAGCTGGTGTGACTTCTGTGGTATCGTAGTCGACTTTCTGGTGAAATTTCTCGTATTTATAGCACCATGGAAAATTTGTACACCTGTCTGGGTGTGTGTGTGTGTGATCACAAGTTGTCCGGCTGATCATCTGACCTAGGTGGTAAACATTGAGGGGGGCTTCATAAGCTAATGTTAATTGACGGTGGTGGAAACACACGCTGTATCCTTTTAGTCACAAAACTGACATTTTTACATCCGGCTGGCGCGGGAACAGCGCCCCGTTACCCTATAGGTATTTTGGGGTAGGGTTTGCAGAAATGGTGTCTCCATGTGCGCTTTCAAGTGTGACGCTAAACTGATAGGACCAAAAGCCTTTATTTGAAGCCTGCGAAACCTGCCCCTAAGGCACTGGTTATGGTTTCTTTCTTTTTCCGCGTCCCTCATAACTTATCGATTTTGAGAGGTAATCATTACTTCACTAATGGTAATGAGTTGCATTTTTCAAGAATGAGGATTGAGGTCCACGACCTTAGATTTGAAGGTAAACGGGATTTACTTCTTTGAGATAGCCAGACACAATCAGAAGTTGTTTAGGGGCACAAAAAAATCATTTAATAAAGTTGTCGAAGAAGTGGTTTAAACCTCCACCACAGTTGTGAGTTCGTCATTCAACAAATTTTGCAAAGACGCACATGACACATGGTTTAATGGCGATGGAACTAACTGGTAGTATCCTCGGATCCCTTTCTAACTGCAAGTGTCTGCCAGTTGATGCGAAGCGTTGTTGTGGTTATACACTACACCTCGTTCTGCATCATCTTATGTAGTAATGTATTGATACCATGGAAGTGCTACGCCTGAAATCCTGTATGACCGGTCTCGTAACTAATTAGTAGCGCTTTGGGAAAGCCTAACCAATTTGCCTTAGGTATAGAGGGGTCAATTCGCCATTTTTGCATGTTTTCTAGTACTGATTTACGAGACCTCATTTTATGCCCCCCGAAGTATAGTTTGCATTCAACAGGCTTCTACCACCGACTGCATTTGCTTAAGTTCCTGTAATGACTAACATTCAGCGGCAAAACCGCCTTGCCGAACTTCTTCCGGTTACTTTGAACTGCTGTATCCTTGCACAGACAGCTTTTTCCAAGTGGACGTGCTGTGTTTTCCGTCCCAGCTAAACGCGGTTCGTCGAAATTTTCTATTTAACGGCATTATGCCTCAAAACGCTATTGGCTGCACACGCGGTTTTCTGCATTTTGTCAATCACAAATGCTTTTCCGCCTACACAAGCAACAGGGATGCGGTAACAGGTGTTGCCTAAAAAGCACACGAGTGGACGATAATGCCACCTTGCAGCCCAAAACCTATGACTAATCCCTAGGGGATTGTGCAAATGGCTGCTGCAGTATCAATGGCAAGAAATACTTGGATTGGTTGCAGCGTCAAAAGACAACTACAAGGCGTAATGTTAATAGTAAAACAGAAATAACGCTACCTTGTTCATTCGGAGATGCTCAGGATGCCATACGGCTTTCTCGACTGACGAGCTTTTTGAACGAGTGTTTTGTCTCTCGTGGATCGAGGGTAGCTTGAAGCGGGAGGATGGCGTTGTTTGAATGAGCGTCCATGGTCCGCGTCGAGAGACCCCATCAGGTAGTCGAATCGTACCAGAAGCAGGTGCTTGTACCCATGCGTGTGTGCTGCATACCAAAGCGAACTTCACCGAACACCCAACAAAGGCTTCAGCTCAGTCATAATAGACATAATTTTTATCCAAGATATTATGACATTTAATTACCAATAGGTGTCTTAATTAGAAATGGAATGAAGTGTTTTTTATGCCGTCTTAACATTATGTTAACTGGTGCCCCTAGTGCCATCAAGCTTGGCCGAAAGGAATCGATTCCTCTCCAAGTTGTTTTGTGACTGCACTTTAAGCGCATCAGTGGTTGTACGACACAAATCGATGCGCCGGTGTTGTTGTGATCTACCAACTGCTGATTCGATAGAGGAGAGTCCTCGCAAGTTCCCTTACCCTAACTTCAAGGTTTTTCGAGCTGTAATCCCCGATAACGAAAGGTCTAAACCTCCTCTAAATGGTTCTCTTTTCGTGGCAAATTATAAGCTTATTAATGATCTCGTTCCATGTGAGAGTTCGCGGGTGGCGAAATGTACATCGGACTCAAACCTTGCAAAAAGCTAGATGACGTAATTTTTCATGAGAAGCGAATCAACCATTACCAACCCGCCCATATTCTGTCCACTTAGTTGTTCGTGCTACATTCATGATAGCCTGCAGTGCTGGTTCTAATATACCCACTCTGCGCAAGAGACGAAGGGGAACATCTGTTGCTTAAATGCAGTGCAGCATTAAAGTATCAAGGTACTCGTTTTTCGAAATTACCGGCGCGTCCTTGGTGTGTCGGTGGACTGTTGTGACGTTGTGAAAAAAAAACACAAGTAGCTTTCGACTGTTGGGAAAAAGGGAGGAGGTATAAGGTGATAATTCCTGTTCCATGCCATGGGACTGTATGACACTGTCTTATTGCATCCACCATCTCCACGGCAAGATAAACAAAATGCATTTTGACAGGAGGACAAACTGTGGCCAGTTAAGGAGTTGGATGCAACAGTTGTGACCATTTTGATGCGGCTATTGTCAAGGCCACATCGAGAATTCACGCTTCATGTGAAGTTAAGTTTTCCGCGCCTTGACACCGGCGACAACAGATCACGGGGCTGCATTCGCGATATCTACCAGAGTGCGGCTAAACTAGCTTTAAATAAACTTTTAACACGAGTGGGTTAATGGCAAGATACCATCATATATTTCCTCAAACGGGTTCGAATAAACAGAGGAACGAATAACAAGTTCTCCGACGCAAATTATGGTGCATGTTAAGCTCCTTTACCTCATCGATACATTCTTGGCTTCACTGTGTATCCAAGCGCTGTGGATTGGATTAAAAGTTCGAAATTTTCATCAACCGAAGAGGAGAACCAACGTAAACAGTTTAATCGAATTAGTTTTTGTCTTTAAACTATCTCTAGTCGTCAGAAACTTTGCACATTTACAAGGCTTCTGCAATGGTTCTTACATAAGTTCATCTTTAACCTATGGCAGTGTATTAGAATGTTAGGATTCGTGCCAATAATTACTACGAAGAGATTAATTGTGCTTTGTCGGTGATGTTTTTTGAAGAGTTGATGCCAGTAAAATAAAATCTTGGAAATGTTTTAAACAGTTTTGTTTTATTGTACAGAACCTCCGACGAATGGATCAGCGACAGTCTCGTGTGGAGAAAATTACTTGAAGGGACAAATACCCTATGCCTTCTAGCCTGAGCTGATCAGGATTAAGTCATTCTTCATTAATACAACAACAGCCTTTGAATTTCTGCGGCGAAAAGATCCCCGACTGTGGGTAAAAGGATAGATTAGGATGTGGATGGGACCGTTCCCGTTATGCGACCAGGAGCTTGACTTTGATGAGTCATGATTTAGACTAGACGTCTTGGCTCAATAGCGGATACCACTTACCACAGGAAATGTCTAGTTTTATAACAATATTCGACCGGTTGATCAAATAATCTCCCTCGCCATGGCTGTCAGTAAGCACAAGGTGGACAACCAATCGATAAAAAATTATGTGTCTGCAATTATAAACTAATCACGGATTTTACCAAGCTTTTTTTTGGCTCGAAGAATACCTTGGTGACATATTTGTACCAGCGGATATGGAAGCATGACACTGATGGCTCACGCTTGGACGATGAATCTTACTCCTCCTCCTCGTCCAAAATGAACAGCGAATGGGTTCGCAAATTGACACGATATGGCCGAATCTATGGCTTAACATTTGAAATTTTGCTGCTTTGTCACGGTAATCAGATTGTAGCAATGTTACGTAAAGGGTGTTAAATTCATTGGAACATGATAAGATACCGCCAGTCATGACAACGTTGTGACACGTCAGAAATGATTTACCAGTTGAAACTGGATTGAATACCTGGAGGAGGCTGGCAACCATGGCTCCCCTCCATGCGTTTATTTATTCCCGCATGCAGATAAAAAAACAACACATAAGTACGCCCACACACAGCATGACGCACCGCGCGCAGAGGGTGCATAAACAGTTTTGTTAACCCTTCTGTGTCGCCCCGTCATCACAAGTTGTGGGTCACCTCGCTTTCCGGTTGTGACAACCCAATAAAAACGGAGTCTGGTGCAGATAGAAAAAGAAACGAAGTTAAAGGAGAAAAGCTGGACTTGGAGATAGGATTCGTAATTATACCATTTCGGGGTATTTTCTCCCTCCTCCTCAACAATTGTCTTCAAACCTTTTATTTTCCCTTTTTAAACGACCTGATTGTCAATTTCTTTTGCAACGATACCACGTTTGACGCTTTGGTCATCCTGTTTAAAAATAAACAGTGTCCAAGATTCAAAATGGTGTCTGCAAGTTGTCCAAATACAAAAAGAGGGAGACAAGTTCAGGGCGACTTCCTGCTCCAGGATGTAACTGTGATTATAAGACTCGACCAGATCTCTTGAAGCAGGATACATAGAAATAAGCCTACATTCAGCATTTCGCAGTAACTAGAAGTGTTCAAATATTTGGTGATTGTAGCATTTTACACGCCATGTGGAAAAAAGATTTCAGTCTCCGCACGAGCTGTCAAGAGGCGTATGGCAGCCAGAACGGAATGGCTAAATGTGAGCACCAATTTGGCAGACTCCTGTGAGTTCCATCTACCAAAAGTGATTTTGTTGAGGGCTAATTTTGGTGTTCTTAAACACCAATTCCTTCGCCGAAAAAATGCCTACTCAAGTGCCTTGGGTTGATAGCTGTATTTCTGACCGAATGCTAATAACTATGTAGGGCATCTAGTTGCCAACATCGGCTTAAAACGTCATTCTTACAGTAATTCTGATGAATGTCCCTTATAAACGAAGATAATTTTTTTCTTCCGAATTGATCTGTTTGACGTGGAGAAGCGAAATTGTCACATTGCGTCGTTTCCACACTTCCACCTCCTCACCTTCCTCATGACGTCGTCACGTCCTGAGTGTAATGGTGCTGTCTGCGTTCGGCTTCCACTTACATTATACATTTTACCACATAAAATTGTAACACTACGAAGTCGAAAATCCGTTTTCATGGGATATCATCGTGGGATTATCGGACGCAAGAAAAATCAAAACCGTTTTCGAGAATGCTGTCACTTACTTTTTCGAGAATGCTGTCACTTACTTTTTCCTAATGCTTCCTGGTAATTCGGGAAAAAAGTATAAAACGCAGTTCCGGGGAAATTTTGTATTGGCCATCCGTTAACACATGTGTTCTATTCTTTTTGGTTAAGATCATGGCCTCGGGTTTGATAAGATATCGCAATTTTCTTATGGTTCGTGTGTCAAAAAATTTCAGATTGTAAAAAGATTAAAACACCAGGCTTCACACGTAGTTTTGTCAGTATATTTGCGTAATGGTTGGTGCGCCAGATGAAAAAATCAAAACTTTTATGGTAAATATTATCATTAGTTTAATAAATCATTTGTGAATCGCTTTGATCCACAGTTGTTAATCCGATCACTCCAGCCTCCGACACAGGATGATCCTTTTCGCAGCATATCGCCAGCCGCGCGGATCCTCAACTCCTCCCTCATTAGCCTTAACGATTATCCTCGATTATCCTCACGTCTAGGTCTCGATGTTAGCGCATCTGTGACTCACATATCTGAGGTATAAATACACACGCACAAACCCAACACACGACACAACGACATCAATTTGGTTGAGCTCTTAAGTAAACGGTTGTGTCCACGTCCTTTTCGGCAGCATAATCCGGCCAGAATTAACTCAGCGGTTCTAGATCACATGCTGGGGCCCACAGCACCATGCAGTTCTTTCGAACCGACTTCTTTCTTGGTTTTAGTCAATTTTGTCTCTATTTATGCGTTTTTATTTGAATGCGTGCGATTCGACTAATCCCATAAGCCTGTGCTGAAAATGCATTATCTCTATATTAATTTACGTTAAAAATGATTTATGCTCCGAACGCTCCAAATCTGTTAGGGCGTAAACACATGTCTTCAATCATTTAAAGAGTGATTTCGTAGTTACAAAAACAAATCTTTTTGGAATGAGCTGCGTGCATTATGCTCAATCGCAGAAATCGAATCTAGCATTTAAATAATTGTAAATTTTGCAAGCAGTAAAAATTTTGGAACCTTGGAATGCCTTCCAAATCCACTTCAAGCCTCTGCCGACGGAAATGCTGAATGGTTGGATTTTAAAAAGCAACAAATGGACCCTTGTACCTCAATGCGCGATACTTGACTTCATTTGAATGCTTAATAAGCTACTGCAGGATATTCTTAAAACACTCTGAGGCCATATTAGGGGTACTTTCATAGTCATTATGTAGACGAGGTCACCTTTCTCCAACGCGAGTCACAGGGAAAGCTGGTCGGAGAAGAACATGTTATGGCGCTCTGAAGGCTCATTTTCAGACTAGAAAAGATGTCCGGTTAAGTGCCACATGACGGAGACAAGTACCCAAGTTCACCAGTGTGTGCCATCAAGTTCATGCTGCTGCATACGTAATTCAGTGGTTTAAGCTGCTTTGTTGCATACCAATCCGAGATAGTCATCTCGAATTCATTGCACATCCTTGGGATGAAGTCTCCGGTTACTGGAAGGTGGTTAATGATAACAGCCGATATCACACATTTGGTAGGACAACTCTAGATTTGATAAAGACTATTAACCTGATTGACTGGAGTCTGTGTTTGATTACGCATTTTAAATGCTAGAAACTGCAAAGCAACCAAATTAAGATGCGAATGGCCAGAAGTAATGTGCTGACAACATTGAAAGGAAAGAATAACACAGGAAACCTCAGTTGCAGCCTCCTTTGATTATAAAAATAGATTAATTTAGACACAAGTCTGTTCAAAATGGCAACGACTGGCGCTACTGTCACTTTGGCCAAAAAACTATCACAGCCGCACGATGAGTTTTAGTTTAGAGCGAAAGTCATGGTGGCGCTGTAGTAATCACTAGACACCGTCCACCAGTCACCATGACTACGTGACTTGCTCCGACCGACGCCAGTGCTAACCTAGCATCATTCTGCAAATGAACAAGCCATATCCTTTGATTATTTATTACCTTATCTTTCCAGAATCTCTTTTTGGTCGATTCCTGTTGTAATTTTGGGCGTTGCTTTACTATTGACCGTTGAGGTTGCCTACTACTCAATTAGCAAGGCAGATATTCACGAGGATGAGTTTGCAAGATCCTCCCTGTGGCCGTTTGGGTGTGCTTTAATTACGTCAGATCACCAGCGAGCTGGCTCTTACATGGTCATGAAGCGTTATGGTATAGTGGATGCCTTTTGAACTGACGGTTGCAAAAGCCGGCAAGGAAGATACTGAGAGGTCAGTAGATGCAATTGATTGATGCTGAAGACTTATTTATAACTGTAGAAAAGCTGAATATACACGAGGGCCTAGAGTAATAGCTGTCTGTCTCGAAGCTGCATGCTTTCCAGAACCTAGGCTTGAGCTTTAGGCATCTGAAAGAAATAAGCTTAATCATCGACAAACCGGAAGCAAACGAACAGCGTTTGCTCCAAATTAGCTGAAAGTAATCAAAAACCGGTGGTTGAGAGGCCTTGGGTGTCACGTGCTAGCGCATTTGACATTTAGTTTGCCGCAAACAAACGGGACCGCCTAGATCGGCAAATAAACTATTACAGTCGCAATGCGCGAGGAGTCGCGCAACACAACAAACGGTACTTTTTATATAAATTGACATATTTGACGATGTCTTATTAGCTATTTACCTCTATGACTGTATAGGAGTCTTGATGTTTTCGTTCCTGATACATTTAACTTTGGCATTTCAGTGGTTGGAAGCTGAAAAAAATCGATCAAGTTATTTCAACGCCTTTGTCATCAAGGTCACCGCCGATCGTCACACGCTGCTAATAATCGCATCACGTGACCTCGGTAACACCAAACCGATAGCATAAGTGGTAGCCCCTGATCCTCCAGAAAGGTGACAACTGGTAGGTCGACTTGGCTCAGACGAGGGAGCCTGCAGTAGTGTTGCGGGACATGATCCCATGGCTTGTACTCGAAGCCCGTATCATATAGTCATGAAGCCAAAAAACTTTCGCACAAAAACGTATGGCGGGTCGCCGTTTCAGGTTTCGTGGTCAACTTTTCTGTTAGGTCGCTTGCACCTTAGCCTAATTACAAACCACTCAGCGTTAGTCGATTTCGGAGGGGTTAATGAAAGCGTCGGGAGAGAAACTTTAAAAGTACGGCTCCCAGGATAGAACGACATGGCTGCCATATCCTTCTTTGAAATAATATTAAACCGTGATAAGTACAGACTGCTGTGTAGCAACTAGGAAAATACAGACAAGGTAATATGTCTGCAATTGTTAAATTATTTCGATAAACCGTTGAAATTGACATGCAGGAATTGATAATAAGGAATCGGAAGAAAAAGATAGCCTTAAATGTTTCACAAAGAAGTGTGCACAGAAAAAAATTGAGGCATTTTTTAAAAAAATTACCAAATGATTTGCTTTTCAAATTATTACAAACAGAGTTACCTGACAAAATAAGCGTCTCTATTCCTGTTACGTGCTTTTGCGAAACAACTAAAGCGTGTTTCGAGGGGGAATTAACATGAATTTGTTTTGTTTCGAATTTGTTGCTTTGCCGCCTTACTAAACGCTCATCCGCATTATGTGGTCAGATAACTACGCCCTTGTTTATAGTTTAGCCCAACTTAATCGGATATTTGGCAGATTGTAGGTGCCTAACAAATCCGACTTCCTGCTTGTCTTGTCTGCCCCACCGGTTTTTAGGTAATTCACGAATATAAGTTAGCCTTTTTTTAAAGTAGTCACGACTGCGAATCAGTGGACTTTTGACGGAACAGAACGCCTTGTCACCTTGGTGTTGGAGAATGCCACGTGACCCCATTTAATGACCCAGAACCCACAGGATAATTTCGCATTTAGTATCAGTAGCTGCAATACCAGTCTTGTGCAAGCTGTATCATCTGCACTAACTGACGAGCGATTCTGTTCGTTAGACAGAGACACAAACGCTCCACAAGACGTAGCCGAGTTTCGGACAAGGATGAGTGCACTGCCTAAAGACCAGCCCTTTCCCGGCTATCCAATGAACTGTGCTGATAACCATGTGAGTGATTTGATTCGAGTCGAGAATGTTGGTACATATCATTCAGCACTTTTCACTCCGCTTCCCTTATACGAGTGGCCTGTTATGCCCCTCCAACTTCCGGGATAGAAGCGTAGCAGACAAACGGAATATATTGACTAGTTGTTGTAGTTTTGAGTCAGAAAACATCTATAAAAAGGACCACCGAAATTCGGAGGGTTTTTCAAGACGACCTCGTCAAACTGGCAGTGAGCAGCCAGTTCTAGCCGCGTTGCCTCACTGACAACAAGCTTACGAGATGGGGCGGTTAAGTGAAGGAGGTACGCAAGTTCTGTTGGGCTGCCAATCACGTGGTAGCGGGGGCACATAGAGACAATGACTCCTGCACACACCGCGCCAACATCCATCCCAATGGCCAAGTCGAAGGCGCTTTCCTCTCCCAGGATGTAATTGCTATTGAAATTATCGACCAGGTTAAAGAGGTCAAGACAGAATTTCACCATTTGCAGCAAATGCTCCACCGGGCTGAAGTGGCTATCTCTCGCCAACGCGTCCAAACCCGCGCCAATCATGTACGAGTCATTGTACGTCTTCAATTTTTCCACTTCCTTGAACTCGGGATCTTGGAGGTGGCGGTCGAACATGCAGATGATTTGATTCAACAGACCAATAGCCTGTTTTCCACCTTGGTAGTCTTCGCGGTAGTAGCCCTTGAAAAAATTTGTCAGACGGACAAAGGCAATGCCGGCATTTGGGACATAATTTGCGTGACTGACGGAGTTGACTTCGAGTGTCTGCTGGCCGGCAGCCAGAAGGGCATTAACGACGTGTCTGGGGATGATATTGTATAGGAGTGTGTCGCATTCCAGCATCGTCTTCGAGTTTGTCTGATCGGCACTTTCTGCCTCGCCTTCTGTATAAAAGGACAGACGACACGTGGTTTCATTGAGGCGACAGACAAGCACCACCAGGATCCATGCCGACAGTAGGGCGATCAAGGAGCCAACGGTGGAGGGCTGGAGACGCGCAGTGTCGTAAAACCAGGCATTTTGGTACCGCTGCAATTCCTCGTAGCCCGTGTAGTGAAGCAAAGCGAACGACAGGATGCCAGTAGACAGGGCTGAGGAAAGGCAGCGGACTAGATAGCACGAGTCCATGGGCAAGCAATGCACAAAAATGGCGATGGGTGCGAAGAGGATGATGTAACCATCTTTTTTGTTGAAAGGTTCGCCCGACTGGATGAAGAGGAGGTAGAAGACAGTCTCCAGTGTTGGCAACTGACAAGCCAGGAAACAAATGAGCTCAATAAAAACTCTTGACCTACTGAGCCTCAAGAGCCGTGTCCAAAGTTGACCACTGAATTTCTCTTTGCTGCCAAAAACTGCAAAATTCACCACCAAAACAAGTGGAAGTATCGTGAGAATGGCCGTAGCTAGCGAAGAGATGCTAAGAATTCCATTGGTCAGTTCCCAGCCAATCGCTGTGGCATAGGCTCCGGTGAAAATAACGATGTAGAAAAAGAGAAAAACTACGTCAAAAGCGGAAGTCAAGATGACAGAGTCAATGTAAACTGGTTTCATTGTGCCCGGCCCGAGATCTCTATAGTTTTGTTCGAGTGATGCATCATAAAAACGAAGTGTAATTGGGTTAATGGGATAGGCTTGAAACAATGAAGTCAAACTCTTCGAGCTACCACTTAGCTCCTTAATGATCGTATTATCCACAGCATTTGTTTCCTCGATATCGACTAACTGTGCCATGACGTCTTTATATTCAGCTGGGAGACCAAAGAGAATCTGACGGATGGACGCAGGCTTTGGTGTCCGGTGGACGTCCTTGTTCCACGCCGCGGAGTTCCGAAGACGCTCATGCCTCGGTGGGGGATCCTTTTGAAGGCCAGAGAGGTTGAGCACGCAAAACTGGCTGAATTTAGAACGGAGTCTGGTTGATGCTTTGGTCTTAGGCGCCTGGTTTTCAGGTTGAATCGGACGATTGCCAAACGGTCTAAAGTTAAGACGAAAGATGGACCTTGTACGTGGCCTACGTTGAAGGTGATGCTGGTCAACCAAGGGTCGCGTTTTAACACTTAAGTAGTACGTCGAAATTTGCACTTCCTCCAACTTCTTTCCGGCAATAGCTGACTGAACTTCCCTGAGCTCTGTGATTGGTCTTGCCGGAGACGTGCTAAAAATGGGTGGAAGAAGGTGAAGGACTTCCTCGGAGATGCGAATGCGACCGGGTTCACAGGCAGCGAGCAATTTTTGTGCTGTTAGCACACTATGCGAGTAGATGTCGAAGTGAATCCTTTCGATGCCCACGACAGCGCCATTGATATTACCCGTGTGGATGGCGACAGCCAATTCCAAGTCAACGCGGCGTCGGGCTCCGAGATTATTCACTTCCTTCATCATAGCAAGCGCGAGATTCGAGCAGCAGACTGCATGATCAGACCGCTCCTTCGGGCATCCACTGACGCAGTAATAGATTGTTCCGAGGACGCCAATTCTTTCGCATCCACAATTATAACAGAAGACGTCAAAACTGGAAAAAAGTGAATTCAAGAGAACCAGTAACTCCTTGGCAGACAAATCGTTCACAAGAGCTGTGAGACCCGAGATTTTGGCAAATAGGATAGATACAGGGTCGTAGGTGTCACAGAAGACCCACAGGGAGTGATCCATGCCTCTGTGGCGTTCAGCAACTTTCCGATACTCGATTCGAATGCGCTTCGGCATGACAGCGTCAAGCCAAGTTGCCTGCTGGCTCAACGCCTCGCGCCCTTTTGCCTTGATGAGGAGGGCTTGGCAGATGCGCAAGAACGACGCCCTGAAACGGAGGGAATTGAAGACTTTAACGTAGGCCGCTAGACTTGACGTAGCAACCACGAGATAGAAGCAAGTCGTGGCGACCATGTACTCCCTAGTCTCCTTATCGAGAACCTTCGGCTGCGAGGGTGACTTGGGATGATCCTGTCGGACAGACCCACTGTACGAATCAAGTGTTGTAAGGCCTACGTAGAGCAGTAAATGGCAAGCCACTGAAAACGACAACGGAATGGGCAAGTGCATGTAGGCGGCAAAAATTAGTATATTAACCAGTGTGTATTGAAGAGGCAGAGTCAGAGAAAGACAGCCGAAATTGACCAGTATGCAGATCCCCACAACCGTTGTGAATGCGATTGACATGAGGGTGCAAGAGTTGGCTGATAAATCGTAGAAGGTGAGTAGAGTGAGCAAGCCCACGCCAATGAAGATAATGTAGACGGGAAGTTCAAAAATGCGATTGCCACCAAAGGGCACCTTCGAAATCACGTCCATCAACATCACACAGAGTAGGAGACTCAGGTAAATTAGCGCGCGACGGAAGGAGGCCTTGACATAGGGCAGATTGAGTCGGTCGAAGGACTCCTTCAGCAGTCGACTGCGTAAATGCAGGCAGTAGACGGCGTCTCCAATGCCTTGTACTAGGCGATCGGCAAGACTCCCACTCTGAGGATCACCAGTTGCATTCACAATATCCGTTAGCTCGTGGCCAAGTAGATTCCCGCCCATTTCAAACGCCACGCGACTGGCTTCAAATTTACAGAGCTCTGCTTCTCACACACAGGAAATCGATTTTTATAAAAACGTTGGCAATTGCTTAGACAAGGTTGAGCGTTCATTGGATGGACAAATAGCGCGAGGTACGAGGACGTGTGACGGCTTTAAATTTCGCCGTTTCATTCAACTTCTCGTTCCTATTATTCAATTTATAGAAGTGCAGAAGAATTAAAGGACGTCACAATTATGGAAGAACAGACAACTATAGAGAAACGCATACCCTTTTGGTAAAGACGACGAATTAATACATTCTTACTGACTTCAGATTACGACTTGGCCTCGAATTAATGGAGACAGGCGTGGCTGAATAGTCTTTTTCTTCAAAGTTGTCACTCAGGCTGCATGTTCGTCTCTATCCTGGACTCATGGGGTCAACAAAACCAAAGAGAAAGCCGTATTCAGTGGCAGTCATGGCACTAATTGCTCTGATTACGCAACCAAATGAAGCTTTTGCCCCACAACCGGCAGAAGACGAGCAACAACAAATAACCCTTGAGAAACAATCAGCAATAACTTGTACTACATGGAAGTTCAGTGGGGAGGATAAAACTGGGATGCATAGCGATGCGTACATGCGAGGATGCAGGCACAAAATTGATATGATTTGGTAAGGTTTCATTCAGTTAACGTTAAAAGATAACTACGTAAAGAATATCAGTAGCACTTTTAAGCTCTAATGAGCTGAAAGACTCAGGTGAGGAGCAGTAAAGACAGATTGAGATCAGACTAGGACGTGTCCATGAGACCTTGGTCGGCTGGAGTTTGGGCTCCCGGTACTCCCCAGAGAGCGCTTTCGGAAGTCTGCATCATGGCGGACGCAAAGAACTGCGGTTCCGGTGGGAGCGGCAACTTCGAAACAGAGGATGCTACAGGAGACGTCGAACAGAAGGCCATCACGTCGTCGCACATATCGGATTGCTCATCGAAGGGGAATGTGCTCAAGAAATCCTGGACGTCAGAAAGGTCGTGCGATTGGGAGGGGGTTGTAGCAGGTGGAGGGGAGGGTATGTCATCAAGGTCACCAGTAGAAAACTAAAAAAAAACAGGAGAGAAATTCGTGGAAAGAACCAACTCACACATTCTCATAATCATGGCACTTTCCCCTCTCATGCTCACCTCCATGGGTGCTAGGTCGCCTTGAGTTGGCTGAAGCAGTCCGTTGATAGAGTTCGTTGCAGGAATGGAACAGGAGGAGCTCTCAGCGGTGAAGGCAGGTCCAGAGCTGCCAGAACTTCCGCCCACAGAAGACGGCAAGAAGAGGCCTGTCCGGGGGATCTTCATCACGGTGGAATCTGGGGCGCGCGTCAGCACGTTCGGCGCGTTGACGAGGTTCAGGTTCGCAGGAACCGACGTAGTGACGTGGAGTGTGGCCGCGGTGGGCGCAACTGCCACCGTCGTCACCGAGCTGAAGGAATCACCCGTGGCTGACGGGGTAGTCTGAAAGTCTTCTGTGGAGCACAACTGGTTCACCCAATCCTCCGTGTCTGGGCAGACTCTGGCAAGGCTGCCGCCTCTGTTGACGAGACAAACACATGATACAAGCAGAAACAGGCTGATGAAAAAGGCGAATTTCTGAACTCGCGAGCAAAAAAGTACCAGTCACAATCCGAGTTAAGTGAATTCTAGTGGATGGCAGGGCGAGGCATCTCTTTCAAAATCAGTAAACAACAACATCGTATTAAACACAGCTTGCACATGGTCTTAGCTTCAAACTTGTGAGGTTGATATGTGAAGAAAGAAAGACACAGACGCAGCGAGACTGCTTCAACGGGAGCCTGCAATTAACCTCCAGACGCTGTTACGGTGGAAATTGAGCAATGACTTTTCGCTTAAGCAACAACGGAACCTGCGCCCCTAAACACTTTTCTGGAAGTACTATGGCAGCAATATCATCGTCATCATGTCGAAATTAAGATGTACGCGACCGCACTGGAATTGAACAAAGGTCCCTTTCCGCAAGGCCTTTAGTGAACGCTAAGCGTCTGGTATGTGTGCGCGGTCAACAAGATGAGCGAACAGGCAACTCACAGGCTTTCAGGGGTACCAGTGCACGAGGGACCACAGAAGACGGTGTCGGAGTGGGCCGGGAGGATGGTGCTGTTGCGCCAGTAGGGCTGCGAGGCGGTGTTGACGGTGGTAGCGGCGGCGGTTGTGGCCGGCGTCAAACACGAGAGCTGCCGCGCCCTGCGACGTCGGGCAGCGCTTCGCTGGTAGTAGCTGCCGCCCAGGCGGTGCAGGTAGGAGTTGAGCAGGTTCCGCTCGAGATCAGACCCGACAGGCTTCGGTGAAGCGTCGATCGGCTCGCCCAGGTCATCGTCACCACCTCTGAAGTGCAAGAGGTGTAGGCGTACAAGATCCAAACAAAAGACAAAGGCGGGGGAATGCACACGAGAGCGCTTCCTTTCATAAGGTTCATGATTTGCCAAATTTATGTAGTATAATAAATAGAGAACGATGAACTTAATCTTGGACATATCCTCCATCGTCTTCTATGACCTTGTGTCGTCGCGAAAGATGGCGACGAATTTACGCACATCGTCCGGCGCTTTGAGCTGCTGCATTGACCGGAACAGATGGTAGTCGGGTGGGGCCAAATCTGGTGAATTCAAGGGGGTCTTCTGAGTCGCGCGAGCAACGTGAGATGGTCGAGCGTTGTCAAGCAGCAGTGTGACTTGTCTACTTCCTTGACCACGAAATGGCCTTTCCTGATCAAGTTCTTCGGGTCAGCCTGTTCAACTATCGGTTGTAGCGTTCTGCAGTCACCGTCTTACCAATTTCCATGAGTTCATAATAAAGTACACCCTTCATGTTCCATCAGATACGCTGGAGAACGTTTTTTCTCCCATTTGGATGTCCTGTTTCGGCGTCGATGTACTGGGTTGTCCAGGATTTGCCCATGACACCTTTTACCTTTACGATTCTCGTCAAAATGTACTTTTTATCACTCTTCACTATTTTACATAAGAAGTCATATTCTGTTGCCAGTGGGAAAGCAGTAAAAGGCATGCGTTCATGCGTTGACCCAGGTTGTGTTCGGTCAACACATGCGGGACCCAACCTCCAAGTTTTTGAGCTGTTAATCAGCTGCCGTCGTAAACTCGATTATTGTGAGAGGTCGTGGAACTCACGTCGACATGCCGTTCGATAGTGTGAAACCTTGAGTCCGATCGGTTTAAAACCACAAAAGACCGCGAAAATACTTCTATCTTGAATATAATTTTAAGTCCGAAGAAAAAATCTGTACAAAGTAAGTCATACACCTAATATATTAATGGAGATTGAAAATTACGGACGTAAGATACCCACACAAGCTAAAATTTCACCATTTCAAAGTGGCCCCAGTCATGTTTCGCTGGCGTGACAACGTAGATCAGTCGATTCGTTACAAAACGCGGTCGTGTCACCAATACGTTCAAGGACAAGTCGGATTTAGAGAAAACGTCCATTCGAGGAAAACACACGCGTATTTACAGTAAAGCATTCATCGATAACATGACAGCTTAGGCGGATTGGGCAAAATTAACGGCAATGTGTCACGATGTTGTGATACTGACACAACAAAGCGCCGTGAGCTGATTAGTCGAATACTTCGAACTGGGATTCCGACAAGGTAAGCTTCGGAAAACCGCTTATGCGCTAGCTTAGAGCATAAAAGCAAACACAACGAGGCACCACAGCACAGAACTGCTGATGACATTTTAGCGAAAAAGCCACCAAGACAGTAGCCTTGGTTTGTGCCCAAGCTAGGCACTGTTTAATCGCGTTTGGAATCAGTGGGAGGTGGACTGTGTGTGAGTTTGAGCTGAGAGGGCTAGGTGCAAAGCTAAAAAAACAATAGATTTCACGTGGTTACCAACTCTGGCTAACCACGTGACGTTTCGTACAATTCAAAAAAGACCCGTACGAGAAAAGGTGCACACACACACACATACACACACAAGGAATGCACAAAAAACACGTTCTGAGGCCTGGGTGGTGTGGAAAGGGTGGGGCGGTTGCATGCCGAATTCGAGGTGTCCACAACCGATGGATACATTCGCGTACCCCAGTCTAAGTCGGGTGTCACGTTACCGAGGCCTAAACAACGGGACCTTTGCATTGCGCTTCAAAAAAACCCCCAGTTGCATTGAAAACACACCGAGGCCGTGTCTCCCGATCACACAGTGAATTATCAGATTCCAGTGACAGCCAACTCGACAGAAAACTGCAATTTCATATAACGAGCATCAAGCGACGCGCGTTTGGCGAGTGCCACGTGTTGGGCTGACTCGATATCAAACGATAATGCAGCTGTTGGGGCAACAGATAAAAATACCGAAAGCGGGACTGGTAAATCTTCGAGAACAAATACACACGGACACGAGAAAAATGCCAATTTGGCAGCACACTAAATCAATCTGACTAATCCGCTTCCAAAGCACTGTACGTCCAAAGTACTTCTGTAATTACTTGCTGGAAAAAGAGCAGAAAGGAATCTTTGCGCACGAAGACTATTAATAAAATTACAACGGCGTTGTCACGAATCACAGGAAATGGTAAATGCAGACTTGCAAAAGTAAATTGGAATGTGCTACCGGATTCCTTGGTACAAAACACCATCTGCTGTCCCCACTACCACACAATTTAAAAAAACACTCAAGGATGAAATTCTATCCTGTTTTGCTTTCCGTTCAACAGATAATGATACTGATGATGAGTTGAGACGTACGAAACAGCGAAGACGTCAGTTTCATCGAGATACTCCAGCCTGTCGGAGATTAGGAGGCGTGCCAGACTGCACGAGCTGGCGTGGTCCTTGACCAAGCGGTTTAGCCGTTGGTAGGCTGGATGATTGCGATGGGAGTTGAAGTGCTCCACCTCGCTAGCTGTTGCCACGGTGAAGGCACCTGGGAAGCCGTCGCTGGTGTAGATGTTCAGGCCGATCGACGAGGCTTCCTGCCGAATGGAAGCAGAACAGAAGAATCAATAGAGGTTTCAAAGACGCGCAGTAATGTAGAGTTGAGCGCGCGGGGTCAATTAAAGAAACATCAAATACTAGAGACACTGAATCATCCACGACAAACTGTTTTGAGAGCAATTAAACAAAAAATCTTTTACCTGCACAAATTTGCGCTGTGTTAACGACGTTGACCACCACAAACACCCAGGACGCACTTTAACAAAAAAGGACGCAAAAGGGTCTCAAGTGCAGCTTTGAAGTGCAAGTCATGGCGACGGCTACGCAAAACAAGGCGGAACAACCCAGGCAATAACAACAACCGAAATCTTCGACAGACGTCATATCTGATCGGTACTAGCGCCTGTTTTACTTTGCCGCCCTCTGTGTGTACACTTGGTGGCTTTCCACAGGCCCGTTGGGGGCAGTTGCATAAAAAAGGAGGAGTTGAACGAAAAACAAGGACAATTCAGTCGGACGAAAGCCAAAACAGCTGACTTGAATCACTTCCCCGAGGTGTTGGGGCATGGAATGACTCAGCGTGGCAATTCGGACTTGGCAGAGACACAAGGCAGTGATCCACACGCAAGCCGAAAATTGCATGCCCTTGGTATCTGGGCGCATGGAGTGAAAATGCGACCACAACACGTCTGCCTCTGATGCTTATTTCAGAAGATTACGCTGAGTCCCAAGGGCAAAAAGTTGCTTTTTTTCAGCTAAAGATGGAGATTGGGACGGGACTACAGCCTCAACCCTCAAAACTTGAAGCTTTGATGGAAGACATGCACTATCTTAGTCAGTGAAGCAGGCAGACGCTAGCCTTGTGCTGATCGAAAGTAAACTTGTGAGAAATTACAAGCTTTAGTTTAAACTAAACTGGATTTGCAGTAAGTAGTAACAAAACCTGGACTCCATTCATCCGTGAGTAAGCAGGCAAACGAATTGACCGATCACTAAGCTCTATCCACTAACGCTGGACGTTTCCCAGAGCATAAGATTACTAAAAATGGGCAAATGAGTGAATAACTGCAGTTGTACGACTAGTGTATACTCTACCTCCGCAATCGCCTGCTGTAACCGCCGAAGATTCAACCAAACAGACTCGATTTCCTCAAGCGACGCCACCTTTCGAGCGGGTTCGGGCGAGGCGGCTTGCACGGCTATCATGCGGGGCGAGTCGGAGGGCGCGGTGGCGCTGGTGGCAGTCAAGTCGAGAACCCGCAGCTGCGTCTGCAGGCTACCATCAGTTGCCACAAGAGCAGCATTTCCGCCATCTACGTTGCACACAAAGCATATTAGGCAAAACCTGAGCGCAAGGAGGCAATGCGGCTTGTGGTAATCGTTTAAATACCTACATAGGAAGTAGGAACTTTAGCATGGATGAGGAATACACAAATAAAAACAAATTACACTAAATTATTTACCTGAGATTGTAACACCATCAACAGGACATTTGGCTAAGGCTTAGTGTTTACTTAAAATTCTCCCTGCAAATTATGCTGACTTATAGGGGCTACAAAAATATGACTTCTCAATTTGCAACAGTCCAAAAAAACACGCAAAACAAGACAACAGAATACGAGTTGGAGTCAACGTGGGTAACGAAAAGCCTAATGGCAAGCGAAACGTCGCGGGTTTGAGACATGAGTGAGATCTAGGGAGGTACAGGTATATACCACAAACAGACCAAAACAGGCCTTTAAGTGGTGCCAAAGAAAATGGTGTTTACAGGAACTAAAAGTACAAATAGGTGATAAAGCTAGATAGTTTTTGTGGCCGAAATGATCACCAGGAAACCAGTGGCCCAAGCAAACATCAGGCAAACCGATTAGCCTGTCTTCAGCCTCAATGGTGTTTCATGCACCAGGTGTGCCCCTATTAGAATACAGCGTGGGTTTCTGTCGGTAGACAGCACTTACCTGCCACAAGGTGAAAAACAAGGAGTAAGGGAGACAAACGCAGAAAGCTGTAGACTACGGCAAAAAGAGAGGTGATTTCAACACTTTAGTTAACCAGACGTGCTCCTGGTAACTGACACGTGATTAGAGAAGTCAGTGCTGCAAAACAGGTATCATGCACCAGTGACAATGAAAGGAAATTAGGTGTGATTTGTCCTGCGAACAAATCAGCAAATGCATTCCGCATACACAATAAGAAGAAGCGCAGAGACGTAGCTCGTAAACAATGGACTGGAGAAATGTCAGTTTTATTGTTAGTTCTGTGGCGAAAACAAGAAAGCGTCAGTTTCTGAAGGTCGCTACAGAAAATCACCCAGTGACAATTCGAGGAAATGTATGGTAAACCTTTAGATGTACCTAAAACTTGGCTTGAAACACGATTAGAGGAGAACATGATAGTGACGAGCCCCAAAGATCCATTTGCCACATCAACAAAGGTTAAAATGTCCATCCTCCCTAAACAACAGCCACGCCGTTTTGTTGTGGCAAAGAAGGCCAGCCTTTCTGCCTTTAACTTCCCTAACCAATTTGACAAATAGTGAGTGAATTCAAACTTCAGACTCGACCTAGAAGGCAACGTTGGCGGTAACACTTTCAGAAATGACGGGGAACAATCAAATTTTTGGTACTTTTTTGTAAAAACCTCGCAGCCCGCTGACACACGACGTTACACATAGCGTGGTAAGTCCTTAGCTATCTAAATCTGCCGTCTTCACCCGCCTTGGTTACACAATCCAACACATTACGGTGCCCATAATACCGTCATACTAACAATTGGAGGGGAAATGGTTTGGAAATTTCAACTGGAGTGGCACAACCATCCGCCAGTAAGTATTCGGCATCATGGACGGTTCACCCCATCTTAATTTTTGTGCCCCAAATAAGCTAAGAAGGACACAAAAAATACAGAGTGGCACCCTACTAAACACATTAACCAAGCGCAAAAGGTCAGGTAAATAAAACTGACTAAGCTGCAAAGGCAAGTCACTCGGGTGCATGGAAACGGCTTAATTCGCCTTTAGTTTGTTAGCGATTCTTGTGAACGCTTGCTGCGGACTTGCAAGATGTGTTTCTGGTGAGTTATTGTGAGGCATTACGACCTGATGAAAATGAAACTGAACAAGATTCAGACGTCAGAGTAAGCTTCATAGTCTTTTAATCATAATCTAGATTGTGTAAGCAACGAAAGTGCAGTGAGACATGTTTTAAACAAACGATTTGCCTGGGGATGTTTGCCATCTCGACTTAGTTTGCACATCACACTCCTCTTACGAAGTAACGTAAAAATTTGATTATTTCCTGAAAATGGTCGATGGGGTGACGAAGGATTAGAGGTGTGGTTTAAGTTCATTAGGAAAACCACTTTAAAATAAAGCAAGAAAGTTAAAAATTGATTTAACAGAAAAGGAGACGGAGCAACCAGCTGGCTGGATTCCGACCCAGCACCATCAGCGCCTTCAAGCGTAATAGCTGACTGCTGCGTGAAAGTGTAGGTAGAGGTGTGGGACGATGGCAAGCGAAGACAGGCGCGAGGTCACACACACACACACACACACACACACACGGACGCGTGTCGCAAGCGCCCAGCATCCTTGCTGCTTTCAGCACCGTGGGCTACTCTTCACCAACACGAAATTCTACTCGTTTGGCATTTGATACATTTCTAAGCATCGTTACTTCCTCAACCGCAGCACGTTACTCCAGTTTAGCGCCAAAGTGGAGTAACACTGGCATGATTAAAAAAAAGGAAACACCTGTAAGTGTGGGTCCAAAGGTGTTACGCGATTTCTCTCTGGGTTCTCGGGAATGTTTTCAGTTAACACGTGGAATGCAACCAAGGTATTGTGGTGAGTAGGGTTTTGGAGGAGGAGTCTTGAACAGACCTTCTGCAGATGGAGAGGTATTAAATATCGAGTAAACCACCGAGGCCTACCAAACCCGACACCCAAGACCTCGAGACTTTAAACAGGCTTCAATGTATGAACGCTGGCTTTAGAGTCCAGAAGGTAGGTTTTAGAAAAAAAAAGACTAGGTCAATGTACATTCAGCAGAAGCCACGTTGTAAACCACGGAAAACAGTTTGAACAATAAACCACATCCAAAACAATAACAACAACAATACTGCGTTTGAGATGAAAAGAATGCATCACAAAAATTCGTGGAAAGAACAAAAGATGGTCGAACGAAAAAAATAGCCTAAACCATGACGCCTCATCAGTGGAATAAATTTGATGAGTTATTGACTTTAGAAGACACCGGTAGATTGATTTAATTCGGCAGTGAATCTAAGAACCAGCTAATCCGATAAATTAGATGATTGGAAATTGAGCGAAATAGAAGTGGTCATATTATGGAGAAAAATACGAAAGTGAAATTAGCAAGGAAAATCTATCTATAGCTATTCTCCAGTATTCACAAAATATTGATGAAAATGTACTCGGAAATGAAAAATCGCGCGTACATGCATGCATACAGATGGAAGCAGAAGCCCAATTAGCATGCATCAGACACTCGACTGAATGAATAAAACTACGATGCGAAGTATGATATTAAGACTGCATACCAATTATGCGGTGAGATGCAGCAGGGAAGACTTGAGGAAATTTAGGTGGAGCTGGTGGAGGAGGAGGCGGTGGTGGTGGAATGGAAGGAGCTGGACTTGAAAGCACGAAGCACTGGGGTGGCGGATGTTGCACGCGAGGGGAGACCACCACAGGCTGCAACACCGAAGTAAGCACTGGGGTGGTTGAATGGGAAACTTTTTGAGGTGGGCGACCGTTGAGCTGGCAAATCTCCTGACCCAACTGCCTGTGAACCTGTGCCGCGTCCTCCAAGTGTAATAACTCCGCTTGTTGTACTTCTCGAGCCCTATGTTTCGGTAGACGTTCAGCGGTGGCACAACTGATACCTCTAAGGCTAGGCGAATTTGAAGAAGCCGCAGACGAAGGGCAGTAGTTGTGGAATACTAGCGAACCATATCGACTAATGACGGTTTCATCCTTAAGGGATCGGCTAGGGGCGCGCGATTTCGCGCCGTTAACACGGGGTGTCGCCGTCGATTGCTTAGGTGAATCAGCAGGAGCCTGAGGTTGCGTGATTGGCGAGTCTTCGGGAACCGTAAAAAGAAGTGTTGGAGATGTGGAGGCAACACGTGGGTACGGGATGGATCCCCCACGAATAAGAGTTGCGACTCCAGGATCAACCTTAAAAGAATTAATGAAACTGGTGAACAAGTCAACAGCATTTCCCTTGACACAGCAAATGGTGGATCAAACTATGGTAAAAGATTCCATATCTTGCAGAACAAAAACAGCTACCGAAAGCCATTAATGCTGGTATTAACTGCAGCTAGGGCTTTGTCCCGGGCTAGTTGATTACATAAACACGAATATAAATATAACACACCTGCAGCACTCCTTTTTCAACAAGTTCCAGACTACCAGGTCGACGATCAAGCTTGGTGTTTAGGGATTCGCATAACTGATTCTTAGTCAACGCATTGCACTTTTCTTGAATAAAAGGAGACGCACCAGTTTCGCTTACTAAAGATAAGGTATCAAGACCACAAAAGCAAACTTTTAAGAATCCGGCGATTGATCAGAACCTGCTTGTCTGGACGTTTTTCAATTTTTCGTTTGAGCATATCAGCCGTCTAAAAATAGAAGATTCTCCAAGGCTTTACCTTCGCACGTTGGAGTTCCTTCACTTTCAACGCATTACATATAGAAGCTAAGATAAAACGTGTAAAACAATAAAAACAGTACGATTGAGCAGGATTCCCTGATTAATAAGTTCTTTTACAGGACGTCTACATAGCAAACTCCTTTCAAGTGCTACAAAGAGACGTTAGGAGCATAAGAGAAAGTAAAACCTTCCCGGTTTCTTGATTTATTTTTCTGTAGAGAGCTGACTTCTGTACACGCTCTTGGACTTGGTGTTTTACGCTGAGGACTATCAGTATTCATTGAATCAAAAAATTGAGGCTGAAGAGTGCTATTGTTCCACAGGAATGACTATATATTGGTCGTTATAATTTTCAACGGTGCACACAATGAAAAACACTAGTTCAGAGCATGCGGCATTACCAGACAACAACTTAAACTTCGATTACTCATATATTTTTTGTCAATGTAAAAATACATGTAATTAAGTCTAAGATTTTTAAGTAAATATTATCATGCTAAATTTAATGCATACTAAAGAGACGAACTTGTTTTAATGAATTGGATAAGAAAATTTTCGTAAAACGCCTGGTTTTAATGGCTTATTTTTAACTCTTATATGGACCAAGGAATATTTATCAGTGCCTTTGCATATTACCGTACACAGATAATTTATATCACATGTAATCAATGAAAGTGAGATAAGTGAAATTTTGTTTAGAGTACAATTCAACCATAACAATTCCGTTGAAAAGCTTAACCTTCCAGATATTTGAGATCTAAACAGCAAACGGTTGGAACCTAGCTCATGCTTCAATGATACGATTATAGCGCTTTAGATTAAATCCCGGTGCAAATGGTGGCCTTATGACTAAAATATTTTTTGGCTGAAACGAAGATAAGTATAATCTGTAAAAATTGGAAGCTGGGAGATATTTAAGTTTGACATTTCAAACTACTCTTTTCAAGATTTTGTAGCTGGCGGCACAATACCCAAAATATATAGCAGATTCGTACCAAAATATATGAAGTTAATAATTTCTAGTCATACCTATATGGTTGATTTCCATTTTAAGTCCTATAAACACTTGATTCACTTTCCACCTCATAATAAAAAGGGAGAAAAATCCTTTTAGTGATTAGTTGCTGATGGAAGTTGTCTTAAAATTTGCGAGAATATCAATTTTCAGGGCAACGTTTTTAGCTTGTTTTGTAAATGATCTTTCACTCAAGAATGTGAGATGGTTATCTTTAACTAAAAGAGGATGTTTTGAATCGCGTTTATTCACATCCCTTAATCCGGTTGCTTCACCTCCAACACAGGGTTCCCCTTCTTCGCAGCATGTCGCCAGCCCAGCGAGTCCTCAACTTTCTCCTCATTCACACAGATATTTATCTTTCATTATCCTCACACCTAGGTCTCGATGTTAGCGCAGTTATGACTCACACATCCGAGCTAAAAATACACACGCCCAAATCCCACATACTACCACGACTAGGTCAAGTTCTCAATAAAACCATTTACTCTCTGTTCTTTCGCAGACTTAATCCTTGTTGGGTAGTTAGTGGTATATGACGTCGCAACAAGGTATTTAATGTTATTTCCAATTAGATAATATGCTGCGGCGTTTTCCTCGTTTGTTCAAAGTGAATTTAGTTTTAATTGGTTGGGCTTCAAGAAATAATTTTAATATTAAAAAAACAAAAGATTTATTACGCCACAATAAATAGTGTAAATTGGCACATCGTAAGAAAACTTTCAACTTTTCCTGAAGAGGTTATCGGAAGATGTGATCTAAACAAAACGAGTCAATTTAATGACATAGCAATCATATTTTCGAGTGAATTGATTCCCAAATATGTATTGATTTAGAGAGAGATAGTATTGTAGGAAATTGCGACTGACTGTCGAAATCAACCGGTTACATTTAACTTTTACGATAAACTCACTTAAATATATTTTTTAGCTTTTTCAATTTTTTCACCACTTTTCTGCATGCGATATGGTTCCAACACTTCAATCACCAATGCTCCAAACACCCAGCTCTTCCAGATTTCATAGACTTTGCAAAAAATCTTTTGCTGCAAATGCACCTACTGCTTCTTAAGAGTAACTGATTTGTTTAAAATGTTCCGAAAATGTTTCAGGTGGTAACTCTGAAAAGGCCTTCGAGAATGTTTTTTGAACCCAATTGGGGATTTTTGTGATGTTTAATAGGAAATTGCGTGCTTTTTTATTCCTTGTAACGAGGCATCGATTTGATTAAAATATTAATAATTGACAGCGAATTCTAATATGGAGAATTCTGTAAGGCGTGTGATTATTTTGAACGCCAGGGCTTCATTGCACATCAAGCGCAACGTCCTTCTTGAGTGACACCAATAGAACGCATGACCTAGATTAAGTGTACTTACTGGTTTCTCATATAATCATTGCCAAATTCAAACTAAACATTTCTATTAAGTGTAGGTTCAACTGCCTGGTTAATTTACGCCGGTTTAAACTAATTGTGCAAAATTCACTCTTTCGCAGACATCTTTTGTGACCGATGTTTCGGTGGACATTGTTTTCTAAGGTTAACAAGAGGAAAATCGGTGAATACAAGAAGTTTAATTTGATTCTGCTGTGTCAGTTTCTCTATACTCTTTATGATTCCACAAATCCTACTTGAAGACGAACTTTCGAAAACGTCGACTAAAATCGATTTTTTTGAGGATTACAAATACAGGCTACCCTTCGCTCTCCCAACTAATCGTCCTGTCTAATCGCCTTAAAAACGAATTTTGGGGGGTATCTATGCACTGTTTTCATCGTACCTTCCACTCTGCCACTCTTTTAGAACAACAAATATTGCAAATGAATTAACATTAACTATTTTTTGGCGCCACTCAGCAACTGATTAAAAAATGTGAAGCAAGAAGCGTCGCGTGCACCGTAGACTCCAAGTAACTGCCTGCTTTTCGAATGCAAAATATTTCTTGCCTCTTGAGTAGGTTGGAAGTGCGTGACAGGTTTGCTGTCTGAGTGTCAGCAAGAACACAGCTAAGAAACGTAGTTGGAAAACTCCTGACCTGGTAAAAAACCCACAATTGTTTTACTTATTGTCTACCGGAAGAGGTCTCTTTCAAGGTCATTAAAACCACGCCACCGGAAACAGCCATTTTCCAATGGAAATTCCCAAAGTCTGGGTAAACGTTTAAGCATCATTGGAGTTCGTTAATTTGGATAACCGCTAAGGCAATGATTGCTTCATAAGCACCTGATTTGCAGGCAGTGTGATTTGATGCTTCAAAACACTGAGCCTGTTCATTAATCGAGACACAAGTGGCCAGCAGTCCTTCAAGTGTTCAGACTCTTGAGAATCTGCGCATTTTTGATATCAGGTGCATACGATTACTGCCTACCAGCCAGAATGTCAATATAATTGAACGTGTTTTGGAGTTTTGAAAAATAACCACTAAGCGTCAAACTTCTACACCACGTTTAAACGGTAATTTGTCTCCTTCCATTGACCAAACCATAGCTGGAGGGGAAAAGTAATTTGTGTCTAATATCCCATGAGGAAAAAGAAGCTGGAAGCAAAAGTGTCGCCATGTGTTGTCTTCTGGCAATATTTGCACACATATCCAAACACTGTGAAAATTACGGAAGTTAAAACAGCAAATCCTCCATCACTCAAATTGACGTCGTAAGATTTTATCTGTTTCGTTTTCTTTGAAGTAATTTATTTAAGAAAAATAGCACTAACTCTGAGAAGGACATAAGAAATTGAATCACAATTGTTATTTAGAGAAAAAACCATGGAGATTCAGCATCTTGTACAAATTTAGGAGCCAGTTATAGCAAATGACAGCACACATTATTGTTTAGCACGAATGATTTTTCAAGAAACAGCGTTGTATGTAGTCTAGTTTGAACTGCGATCTTCCAAAATTTGCTTCTGGCGTTGTCGAGTCGACCAATAGTTGCAACTGCCACAAGAAACATTGCTGTCAAGTGTTGTTGCCATCTCACCAGTGTCAGAAGCTGCTATCATCTCAAACAAAGTGCTTTTTGTCTGCCAGACTGTCACTTCATGCAAATACGCTTGTCACCTCGTAATCAAGCATAGCAAGCAAACGTATTTTACGAAGCTGCGCTGCCAGTTGGAACTCTAAGTCTATCAAAAGTTCGATCTTATTGGACTGGAAATCATTTGATCATTCGGTCAATTTTGACAAAAGACGAATGGCTTTCCTTTGAACAAGGTTGGTTTGGGTTGCTACACTTAGATGTCAAGAACAATCATGAAAATTCAGGTAGATTCAAAAGTAGTTCTTGATACACTCAAATTCTTGAAATGAATGTGCTAACAGTTAGTGTTGGGGAATTAATCAATGTGTTTTTATTACTTTTTATTCATTACAATTGAGGAATCTTAATCCTTGTAGCTACCACGCTGTAATTCAACTGGAAGCAATTTAAAATTTATGCTTTATGAATTCATTTAAACAGTTAACAAGTTTTGATGTCTTTTTAATGCTAAATACTAGGGTTTGATTAGGGAAAAATTGTTTAACCTTACTCCAATGTTTGGTCAGTGGTTGAAAATGATGAAAGTATGCTGGACCCAAGACTGGGGACATGTTGAAGATGTGACAATTTCATAGATTCCACTTCTGACCGAAATCACTTATAATCCAATCCAATGAAAGGAGAGCTTTCCTGCATCGCCGATTCGAGGAAACAAATTTTTCAATAAAATTAATATTTAACACAAATTCTACCCTTCTAGCAAATCCAAAATTTTTGTAAATTGTAAGATGCATGGCATTTACTTGCAAAAATTTGAAATTCACGATGTCCACTGTCCAGACAGTCACTCAAAATATATAGCGGCGGAGATTTTGTGCGAAAATGGTGGGCTTTTGTAGTCAAACAAAACTGTTTTGAAAAATTGATGTCTTACAAATGCACACGTTGAAATTCATCTTAGTCAGTCTTAGAATGTTTGAAAGCACACATCCAACGGTGGGTTTTTTTTCGAGTTGGAAGTAAATATTGAGTTAGTACATTAACGAATGGAGAAAAGTTACTTTTGCAGTCAAGTGCTTAATGTTGTGTCTTGCAATACACTGCCAAGCTCGTAAACAAAAGTTTGGTGGATCCGAATGGTGATTCAAAGTTTACTGTCTAAGCTCCCATGAGTCGACGCAGATCAGGAGGGTTGAAAAGGAGTGCGGCCAAAGTGTGATTCACACCCTAGAAGACGCTGATCGTGCATTAGTTAGAACATCTCGTCTACAGTGCGCAAATTGAATTCGAATTAACTGACAACAATTAGTCAATGAGTGGCAGTTTAAGATCTTTTCAGGTTAGTTGTAGTGGCGTTCATCTCCTTTCAGGTTTTACCAGCAACTCTAAAGTCCCTGACTAACACAATCTTTTTGATTTGCTGGATGCAAGTGTCTGAATTTGGATCAAGGTAATTCTCCCGGTGATTAACGGCCTTGTGTTTGTACCCAGCTTGATTAAGTCACCGATAAACTGTCCATTCTTCCAAATTCATCGTTGAACCTGTTTATGCTCCTCATCCAGTAGTAGGTATCAACGTTACTGCATCTCGCTAGTGTGTATATCAGTACCGAAAGCAATCTATCAATGCCTGAACAGTAGTTCAGATGATTACGCATCGGATCACCGTTGATCCCTCAGGCATGTTCTTCTGTTCCTCCAGCACCCTGAATGTCTAGCCTCGCTAATTTTTACAGGCGTTTCCTGTGTTCTATTTGGCTTTCTTCTCATAGCAACAGAGGCAATTACTATCCCCACGTCCCGACAACAGTAATTCAAACCATTAAGACGATGTATATGTTGTTCTGTTGTTTCGGAGATGGTCAGAGTCTAAGATTCCACTGAGTTTTGAATAACAATGGAATCTTCCCAAAAATCATAATATTAAAAGCATTTGTTCCGTTTTATCACCTACTGAATGGACTGTCAAGTCTTATTTGTGCACCCTCATTCCTGCACACTGCCCACGGGACTTCGTTCTCTACGAATTTACCATGTACGGAGAAGATATCTGTGGATTGCTTTAATATAGAAACCCTTAAACTAACTCTTTGAAGGGTATGCCAAAGTATTTTCAATAAATAAAAGGAGGAATCACTTTATGGTTTCATCTAGTGTTGCTTACTCGGCCAAAGCAGCACCTCATTTGACGAAGACATTTTCTGTGACCCTCTCGTGTCGAATCCCAGTCAGTCTGAATAAGTTTTCAAATTGTTTGCGGTTCAATTTAAGACATAAAAAAGGTACCTCGGACAACCTAAGATCACACTTAGCAGTCACCATCAGTTTGCAGAATTTTAAAATCAATTTACGGAAATTTCGTTTGCCTTGTGGCAACGTGAGGTGCCCTGAATTGGGTTACTTTTGTTGTTCACTGACCAACCGACCCTACGCACGTGCCTTTCGATGCTGCGCGCAACATTTCGGCTTAAAAACCCTTCTAGCTGGTAAAAAAGACCAAAAAACCAAGACTAACTACGAAATGAATGTGACGACCACGGCAGAACAAAATCCACTCCTGAATAAAGCTTCAAGATGTCATTGGTTGGTGTATTCTTTCACATCTAATCGGACATAATCACTGTTAGCAAAAATTCAAAACAGAAATAATTGTGCCAACAACAGCGCCCACTTACTTAAAGCATTCTTTGTGCCGAAATCAGTTGGTCTTAAGGCAGCAGCGAAGGGGATTTTGTCAGTAATTCAGTAAACCAATCAAATGCTGTGTGCAGACGCCCCAGCACCTGTTGCCCAAATGCGCATTGCATTCCAAATCGTCTTACTCACGCAAACGTGGTATGAATTCCTAGACAATAAATTCAAACAAAAAATTAAATTGATGATTGTCAGTAAGTTGCTTATTTACGACATCTGACTACTAAACAATTGCTCTATCCAGTGGCGAAATTGCGTTATTTAGGAATTAATAAATGCTGGTTTAGATTCTGCCATTTTGTTGATATGAAAAGTTTTTAGAAAAAAGCATTAATTTGTTGTTTTCAGTAGAATTTGAGATAGTCCCCCAAACGCTCCCCTCCACTTACTCAAAGGCAAATAAAAGGGATTATTATGTTGAGAAAAAAATAAGGAGTTTCACTGCTTCAAAAATCAATAACAAAGATCCCTCTCGGACTGAGAACGATGGACACAATCACCTTCTATCAACATTTGGGGGACGTTCCAAAGTTTGCCATCTGTTAACTAACACTGGGTCACCACGGTGACGCGACTGTTGTCAAGACGAGATGGGTAGAGATTGGAGAGAGAGAGAGCGAGAGAACAGAAAAAGGGAAAAAAGAAGTGACGTCAACATTGCCATTTTGGTGAAGTCGTCTGATTGGCCAGTGGTGCGTGCGTTCGTGTGCACGCGTGAGGCACCACAGACTGAAAGGAGCAGAACCATTGGGGCTAGGCGTCTGTGCGTGTACAGACAGGCGCAATGCGTAGGTGTGGTAAAATAAAGAGTAAAAATTTGGGTGTCCTGGTCAGACGCGCCCTATTGCTCTTGTTACCTTCGTGTTGGTACTGCAAATACAAGCTCAGACACCACTCATCCCACGTTAACTCACGATGGCCTTCAAACGGGCGATCGAAATCGACTTGCAAAGTTGCGGAGACATAACTGAAGGCAACCTTGATGCCATGGACGAGGCGATCGTTGAAGCCGACGACGGAGAACGTGGAAAGTGGAAACGAAAAATCGACTTTCTCTTCGCATGCCTGGGCTTCTCGGTAGGCTTCGGCAACGTATGGCGATTCCCCTACCTTTGCTTCAAAAATGGCGGAGGTTCGTTAACTCTCCTCCTCTCTCTATGGGTGTCAGTCCGAAGTTTTAACTTAACTGGTTGGTTTTCGTACGATTCATGAAAACCCAAATGCGATAAGATTACGGCGATCAGATCCGACGAATGTCCCGAATGTGCGACATGCCCATTCACCACTCATATGAGTTTCAGGCATTGGATTAAAGACACGACTGCTCACACGAAATTACGCTAAAATGAAAAGTTGTTGCAGGTTTCAGGGGAACTCTGATAATTTGTGTAAATCGCCTCTGATTCTAAACTAGCACTATGGAAACTACTCCCATTAAACATGTCGATTTTCGATCAATGCGCTTTTGAATATGAAAAGAAGGCTGTGTCGGCTTCCTTGAAGTGTTCATCAGGTTTTGCTAACAAAGACACAATAATTTGTGGCTCTGTAGGTGTGCAAGTGCCCTTGCTAGCAGGCCTCATTAATCTCTGAACCGCATTGTTTTCAGGTCTTTTGCAAAGAAGTAGGCGACACGCTTTCGTAAACAGCTCCTGTAATTGAACCGGGTACTGTTTGATGCCGTCGGTTTGCCCTAAGTGAATGTCGAGTTTGCGCAATTGAATTTCCATTTTGACCGCAAGATAAATCACGCACTTTTTACTTGCAACAACCAGAAATCTGCGGCCTAGAAATTTCGGTTTGCGTGTTCTTCCGACGCCAGATTCCCTATCCCCAAAAAATTGGGCGTATCGATGTTTGTTTCTTAGTGTCAAGGGGGTAAATGTGTTTCCATTTTGATACCACTTCAGTTTGCAAGGGTCTGTTGACAACAGAGTGAACAGGGCGTGTTTCCCTCTTTTGTGCACTGGACATTCTTTAACCATTTTCCACTGAATAATTCAGTTCCCTCATTACTTTGCTTTAATATTGGCTTTTTTCATTACCGTTCAATTTCCAGGTGGATTACATGCATGTTCAATTGTTGTTAAATCCTTAGAACTTCCTCTACTCGTAGATGCCAGTAGTTGTTAATTCGGTGAGCATTTTTACAACTATCCGGTCACTGAATCTTTTCAAAAAGCTCGTTTCTGGGCCCTACAAAAGCTCACCACTTTGGATTAGCTTTGTTGACAATTTCATAAATGGGAACTACAATCCTCTGTGAGATGTACATCCTCTAGAAATGGGAAAATGCTCTGGGTAGAAGCTCTCCTTTATACCAAGGCAATTTAAATCCATGAAGAGCATTTAATTGGTTTTTGTCGGCTAATTCATGCACGTTTTCGCGCTTATCAGTATTGCATGCGGAAAATGCAATCACGGCAACATGACGGAAACACGAACACAGCCGATCACGAAAAAATACTGCATGCACTATTCGAGTCATGTCACGCCTGTCTTCGAGAGTTGAAAATAGCGTTGAAGCTTGTTACTTTACCTCAAATAACATTGTCAAGTAGGGGAACGCATTGAAGACCAATGGGTAGGCACTGCAAAGTCACAAACATCGCGTGACAATGTGTTTTTGGATTGTGTGGCAGCAGAAAGACTGGAAAATGAGTTTATTGTTATTTAAAAAATCATATCTTTACTTCCCATCCAAACGATAAAACCCTCGGTGGAATGTAAACTAAGAAAAATAGCCCCTACAGGGTCCTAATGACTCATGAGTTTGTCACGTCTCAATATCTAGAAGCTTTTTATCAGCAGGTTTGATTTATGCATAGCTATATAAATAAATCTGTGTCTGATGTCTGCTTGTTTCGGAGTTTAAAGTGTTTAACTGCAAAAAAATGCTGGTTTTTTGGAACGAGAACTTTGTTAAGAATTTAGAGATCCGGCGAATTTATCACTTGAAGCAAATTCAGTTAGAATCAGATTCGCTCAAAGACTGATGGACGAAACAAAAAACCAAATGTCTAGTTTAAGCATTAAAAGTAATTTGTACGCAAGTAAAATTATCCGAATTCATTTATGATTAATTTGGCTTCTAAAATCCATTCTTGGTTTTCAAAATAACTGTAACATTTTAATAGCAAATCGAAAAAAAAAATAATTTTGTTTCAAGAATATACGTAATACAAATTAACTGATTATGTGTAAGATAAAGAGAAACCAGACTAGTGATTGCAGCAAGTTTTGCGGGGATACAAAAAGGAACGCACAATAACCTGGGACAATGCTTAATGTGTCAAAACCGCGCTGACGCACGGCAAAATTTGCTGTTTTATGGACGATAAGCCTTGCGTTCAAATGCCATTGCTTGTCTCGTATGACGTCTCGTGATGATGTTTCATCCATGTTGTCTTATTCCCCTACGTAATGTTTTGCAGGCGCGTTCCTAATTCCGTACTTCATATGCGTCCTCGTCACCGGGATCCCGATGTTCTTCCTGGAGGTCAGCATTGGTCAGTTGATGTCACGTGGGGGCATCGAGGCCTGGGAGATCATTCCCCTCTTCAAAGGTACGCACACCCTTCCCACCCACCCCCAATGCTCCTTTTAACGTGCCCAATCATTTGCTCAAGTTCTGCTCTCTCTCTCCCTCCTGCCTAGGTGTCGGCTACGCGGGGATGTTCATTCTCTTCTGCCTTAATTCCTATTACAACGTCATTCTCTCCTGGATCTTCTTCTATTTGTTTGCCTCAATGGCCAAGACTGTTCCCTGGTCCACCTGCGGGAATTCCTGGAATACGAAGTTCTGCGTAGACGCACAAACCAACACCAGCACCATCCCCGGCTTCAACGTCTCGCTCATCACGGATCCAGTTAACGAATACTGGGAGTACGTTTATCCACCTGTAAACCAGAAAGGTGGGCTCATATTTGGCCTCATTTTCACTCATTGCCGTGTTCATTTCAAAACGCTTTTAATTAACTTCATTTGTTTGAATAAGTAACTGTAAATTAGTGCTCTACTTGTCTTAGTGATCTACAGATAGGCTGACAGGACACACGCATCATCCATTAAAGCCGTCAGTCTAAATCCAATGAAATGGTTATATTAATTTTTAAATGCTGAAATGCTGATCTAAAGTAGATAAGTAAACTAGAGGTTGTAGCAAATTCTGGGTGTGTCGCACAAAGTTACTCCACTGATTTTTTTGAGAAAGTTTTGTTAGGATTAAAAAACGCGTAAATTAATCTACTGATATGGTAACGATTTAAAAAAAATAGCGGAGCAACACGTTAGGTGGACTGATTTTTCTGCTCTTTGTAAATAGACGACGTGTCCTGGGCATCTCCACAGGAATCGACGACGTGGGAACGGTGAGATGGGAGTTGGCTCTTTGTCTTCTGCTCGCTTGGATCGTCGTGTTTCTTTGCATCTTCAGAGGGATCCGAGCTTCGGGCAAGGTATGGTACTTTCTGAGATTCGCATATAAAACCATTAAGCCACTCAAATTTAGTCTTTAACCGGGGTTTTAAAAGACCTTTCTAGTTTGGTACCTCTGAGATTGCAGATTTCCAACCTTACTGTGTAAAACTTCACAAATGTGGCAATATCATCTAGTTATGAGGATTTGGTTTTGCATTTCAGGTACTCTATATCACTGCCACAATACCATTCATTCTGATGGCTATTCTGCTTGGACGTACTGCTTCTCTGGAGGGAGCAAGAGATGGAATAATTTATTTCTTGCAGCCAAAGTGGGAGATGTTAGGCTCGCTAGAGGTATGTCTCGGTGTATAATCAGGCTCAGTCGTTTTAAGTCCATGTTGTAGAGGGCTTGCTGATCACTACACAAAGTAGAGGTCTACTTTTGGAGATTTGTAAAGTATGTTGAAGTTGTCCCTGTTGCCTGCACACTGCTTTGTCTGAAGAAAAACTACCATTGTAGATCTTTTTGGCTCGACAAAGTCGTAAAGTATATTTTTAAAGGTTCATAAAATTTCGGCTTGAATAAGATTACGCTACTTTTGAAGCTAGAGCACAAATCTTGGTGTCAGAATGTGCCCGAAGTTACTCACTATGTTAACTCTTCCAGATTTTAACATAATAGCGCATCAGCAAATCGACATGACTGTCCTGGGGAGAATTTTTTCCCCTCAAGGAAGGAGTTGGTGGTTTCGTATCTTGAGAGACAGATTTACAGTTCTTTTGGTTTTAATATGCCGGCGTCCATACCCCTAGCACTGCCTGGTTTAAAATACTGTTTAGGCTTTCCTATTCATTATCGTTGATAATTAAGGCTCTGACTATTTTCAACTGGCTACGTTGCATTTCCAAATTTTACTGAAGGTTTGGTCGGACGCCGGCACACAGATTTTCTTCAGCTATTCAATCAGTCTTGGAACACTAACAGCCCTTGGGAGTTTCAACGATTTCCATCACAACACTGTCAGGTAAGTAGCAAATAACCGTTTCATTTTTTTGCCCTACAAAGCTAGTTGGGTGTCATTGAAAAGAGGGCGCAGAAAAAAAAACAAAATTATGGTGATTAGCAGGCCGTTTTGGGTGATTTTTTGATCTAAAATACCAATCATTTAGCCAATTAACCTGCTTTTATTCCAATTAAATGTTGCTTCGTCCCTCGGCTTGTTTTGATTGGTTGACCAAGCTAAACGATTATTTTTCTAGTGGTGTACGCCTACAATTTACTATTGGGGAATTAACCTTTCATTTGCATCCCAAGGAGATTGTTGCCATACCTTTTTTAAGGATACCCCCTTTGACAATATTCCTGACCAACATTTGTCCTTCTTTCGAAGCTTGCCGTTGATTAAGCTGAATGATTTAGTGTCTTTAAACTGGGTTATTTCTTGGAATAGATGTTTTCAAGACAGACTGGTACAATTTGGCTTCAAAATGTCTAGACAGCTTATAGTCAAATGTTCATTTCAACTAAAGGGCCACCTAAGCTAGCAATACTGAAAATCACACCTAAATTTGGAAAATTCCGGGATGTCGGAATTTTCCTCTCTTTTATTGTTGTAGCAGTAAAATTATTTTGACGAGTGACTGCTGCAATGCATTTGTACTATCGAGTAGTTACAGGTTGTTTTCAAAATTACTCGATAAACGAAGCCATGATTACCTTTTGTGATCGAAGACATTTGTAGAACGTTTAATCAATACACTGGATTAGACCTTTTCGTGGTTGTAAAATCGTGAGATTTGAAAATGAACTTATTCGCATCATTGTATGATTTATTATTTAAAGATTAAATAGGTTTTTAGTGGTAGGGTTCATCAAGCTGAGATTTTCGAAAGTGATACAGCAGCATCAATTAGCAACGATCACTTGATCAGTTTTGGCGATAACTTGAAGCTATGAATTACAGTACCATTTCGGTAGCAGAGTGTTCAAAAAACACCAACACACACTTCGTCTATTCGTCCATCTGGTTAATTTCGGGAATAATGCCATTCAGGGTTGGAGGCGAAGAAAATACGTCTGTTCAGACTATATTACCATTCGTGCATTGTTTTTTTATTTCAGATGTTTGCGTTTTATTAATTTTGATAGCATGGCATCCACCATGCATTTTAAACAGATTTTATTTTGGTGAGGGCTAAGTGCACATCCTCGAAGGCTTGATTGGGCGCAGTGTGAGGTTTTGCCAAAATATGTCACTTAGAATAAAAATAGAACGTTTGAGATAAACGTCGACTTCTATACAAAAAAAAGTAAATTAGTAAATTGCTACAGACGGAATGTGACTTTCCAATATCTTTTTAAATTTTCTACGTTTAATGAATCTTGTCATAACCAAATATTGATTTTTCAGTTTTTATTTTGAAAAGCGAGACACCAATCCAGATTACGCGCCTCACTATTCACCGAACTTAAACCGACTAAATTTATCGATTCTAGAGACACAGTTCTTTTTGCCGGACTCAACAGTCTTACAAGTTTCCTGGCCGGATGTATAATATTCTGCACGCTGGGGTACATGTCCGTGACGTCCGGCGTGCCAATTAAAGACGTCGCTGAGTCAGGACCCGGTCTGGCGTTTGTGGCCTATCCAAAGGCCCTCTCGACGATGCCACTGAGTCCGCTCTGGAGTGTCCTCTTCTTCTGCATGCTCTTCCTCCTCGGCCTCGATAGTCAGGCAAGTCGTCCTCGAACCACATCAGCAGAACTGACTAGCTGCTGATGTTTACTTGTCTGCTTTGTGGGTGCTGAAACTCGTCCGTATTCAGTCATGTTTTCCTGTCAACTTGCAAATTTTACATCGGGTGGTTATTTTGATGACAATTTGACCGGCATAAAAACCCAAATATCGATGTCAAGAAGAAGAAAAAAAGTAGTCAGTTGTTTTAATGAACGGGGACTACTAAGCATCGTTATAAATTACAATCCGTCTTATTTGAAAGTTACATAAGCTGAAACAATGTAGTTGAAGTGGTCTCTCGTAATAGCCATTGTTAAGTGCTGTCCTGAGAATGGTTGCTAGATAAACATGAATAAATTTAAACAACCTAATTTTGGCGTGTAGGGACGTCTTGCTCAAGCACAAAACAGAGACTTCTTAAAATCCTAAAAATTGGAACTGATTTCTGTTGGGATTCGTATGCCTCTTCATAGACAAAGAAGCGTGCAATCAATGAGCGATTATAAACCTAGGATCGTGGCACCATGTGGATTCTTGGTTGAGCGTTTATCCCTAGATATATTTGGTAGTTGGCTGTAGCCCTCACTCTCAAATTACGGCATCATTTGCGTGATCATTGCATTTGCATTTGTCGTGAAACACTGCGTTACACGTTACTGCCTTTATTTGAATAGTTTTTTTGTTTTTTTTTTATAGTTTGTTGGAGTTGAAGGGCTCGTGGCGGGTGTCGCCGATATGTTCCCTGGGGTTTTTTCAAAAAAGAAATCGCGACTTCTCCTGACTATCCTGTCTTGCGTGATCTGTTTTTTCGTCGGCCTTCTAATGGTTACGAATGTGAGTTTTTTTCACAAGATGTGGTAACAAACTTGCTTGCACTTCACTCAGGCTCAACAATCGTGTGGTGATTAAAATCGAAAGAGGACTTGCTTAGGTTGAGACCAACGGGTACAACTCACGAAGCCAAGCAATTCCAGAGCTCTCAACTCAGGGACTTACTATGCTTCCTTCTATGTTGTCACTCCCGCAAAACGTGAATGTAGCGTCACCAGCCATGTTTCTTGATGCTAAAGGCGTTAGGGTCGATTTTTCTGGACCTAACAATCTATGTTCAACAAGATTAATGATAATTCTACCGATTAAATGCGGTTGCCTGAGGTGTAAACGTTTACCTTTTGAATAGTTTAAGATGATTTCATGAGAGATACGCTGTTCGTACCGCTGACTCAAGAGTATCACTAAGAGATACGTTCTTAACAAGATACGTTTTAAAAACAAATTGCTTCTTATGCTGCGTGAACGACCGAAACCTTTCGCCAACTGTTGTTTTGGCCCATGAGATCGCAATAACAGGCCTTCAACCGAGCCGTAGTTCAGGACCTGGTCCACGCGTGCACGCTGCCTCTGCGCTACGGAATTGAAGTACTGCATCACTTCGGTTAGAAGACAGATGAGTCGAAAGCCTTCGGTCTTGGGTGGGATAATTAAAGTTAATAACTTAACAGCCTAATATTATGGTAAATTTGCAAAATAACTCTGGTATTCTATCTGCCCCTGATTCTTATTTGAGCAGCCATAAAACCAAGAAATGTTCCATGGTTTGTCTAATTGGCAAAATGTGTCTGTATGGAGCGGGGTAGGCCTTCCACACTCAACACTTAGTGGAGGGACGACAGAAGTGGACAAGACGTATGTTTATCGGTTCTTTAGTAAATGTATGTCTTGCAAATAGCGGATACCAGCCCAGAATGCGGCATCATTATTTCTGCTGGGGGCATGAACATTAACTGCATTCAGGTAGATGACTAACCTGAAAGACCTTCTATTTTAGGGTGGAATATACATTTTCCAGTTGTTTGACTACTACGTCGGCAGTCGCATTGTTCTTCTCGTAGCAATGTTTGAGTGCATTGTAATTGGCTTTGCGTTCGGTAAGTCTTGAATCATTTTTTTTGAAGGCAAAATATTACAATTGTAACATTTTACAAACCTTGGTTGACCAGCGAACACGATTAATCAGAGTGTTGACACTCGTGTTAACCTCAGTTAATATCTACTTTAACTGTCACTCTTATACACGTGTGTTTTCATGGGCAAGTTATCATTGATTTAACAATGTTGCGAATGATAGTTCTCATTCAATCAAAAGCACAGCATAAATTTAGTTTTGTATTTTACTTATGATTTGTGGATATCATCTGTTACACATAAATGCGATTCACTAGAGTCTAATCTCACAATACCACCGTTCAATTGCATGGTGGTACTCCCGTTTCCTCCCAGATGGTTGTGCAAATTTGTTCGGATTCTATACGTATAAATGATTTATCAGCTAGTCTATATCGATGTCAGACCCTCAAGCACCCATCCATGAGGAATTAGTCCTAATTGTATAAAGATATCTCTTCCAAAACACTCCTCGTACATACGTCAGTGTCATCTAACCCTCTGGACGTCTGGGCGCTACCGTGAATCCTTCTGTGGCTGTCACCTAGAATGTTTGGCTATAGAGGCAGCCTCCACCACGCCATCATCATTTTTACATGTCAGTATGTGTGTGTTTTCTGAGTAAACCAGGCACTCATTCTGCGCCACAGCCACAGCGACGGGCTCTATCATCTACCTGCGTCTCGAAATCCATATTGCTGCCTATTTAATCGGGTTTCACAATAGTAGTTATGACTCGACTTATTGGTTGTTGAATAATTCTGGCCTCCTTGTGGCTCAATGTTTAATTGAGTCACTAACCAACGTAAGCTTGCGATCGTTCAAATCACTACCTGAAGAAAGTCCGTTACCCCAAATTGGCTCCAGTGGAAAGACTATCCAATCTGAGTAATATTACAAATAACTAAGCCTAACCAACAGTTGTTCAGTAAAAACCAGAAGTCGTATTCTTTCACCAGCCAAACGTGATTTTGAAAATATACTGTAAATTGGCTAGTGCTTCTGTCCATCCCCTACTGGCCATCTGTCATCCAGATTCTTTGCAAAAATGCCCGTTGGTGGGAATTCTGTTGGTGATTCACTATCTTCAAGCATAAATATCCTACACGACAGCTTTTCTATACTGTTCGTTTGAAATTATTCTTATTAGGAAATAACCGTGGTCATCGTTTCAAATTGAGTCTATCGTGGACTTGCTACTAAATGCCGAACTTTACACTCGAAGATGCAATCACACATTTATCTGCACGATGTCTGTATTCATTGGCTCAAGAACGAGACGACTCCGCCTAAATTGACGTAGCCCCACCACCTATGGCAGTCTCAGTAGTCTCTGTATCAAACAGGTTTCCTCATGTCCCACGAAATTCAACAGAGTTGTTTACTACAAAACGACTACTTGCTTTTGTTCCGTAATTGAGCTTGACTTACCTGAGAAACCTTTTTCGGATTCCTCTTTTTAGGTGCTCGAAGGTTTGAAAAGTGTCTCAGGAAGATGTACAACAGACAATTTTTCTACTTCCCCTCTATAATATACTGCGGCATCGTCCCCTGGTTTTCATTGGTACGTTAGGCCATTTCAGTAGTCGTTTCAGTATATGTCCGACTGTTGCATTACTGTGTGTTAAATAAAAGGCGTTGCAAAAGACCGAAATGATGCACAAATAATTGTATTTTCGACCTTATTTTTTAAGTTGCGCATATTGGAAACCATTAGTTGTGCAAAAGCGAGGTTTCCAAACGTGTTGCGAAAAGGTGATGTGTAAACACTTTTTCTGCTTATGTTTGACCACAACCGGTAGCGTTAGGCTCAAAAATGTTATAATTGTGTGGAACATTCGTTGACATGTTAGTTGATTGGGGCAGCAGCGGTAAATCCCTTTTTTACGAGACGTGGCCAGGCATCTCACAAATTCTATGAAAAACTGTTGTATACTTGATTTGCTTCTATTACATGGGCCGGTCTTACCGCCATTTTTCAAAACGTGAAAATAATCCGAGATGGACGTTTAATACTTCTTACCAAGAAACAAATATTTGAAATGTTTTTAATTCAGTTCGTGAACATTTGAATAAACTAATTTTGTGGGTCCACACGTTGGGCGCTCAGTGTCAGCATAACTGTTGTAACAGGTTTTATGCACTTTTAAAAGTTAAATTTAGTAGTCACATCTGTGTCCCCGTTCATTTAAGAATGTCTGCGGTATACGTGGATTCTATCCCTTCATCTACAAAATAATCATAATCTTGTCGGTGTGTCATAATTATTTTCGTTATTTACGCGCATTAAAATCATGACGTAGCTGCTGCAATTATCAAAGCTCCCAGACCTGTCTGGATATTTCGCAGTTAATTACTGTCACAACGGATAATAGTTACCAGTGGCAGGCCTGACCTGCGTGTCCACCTTCTGGACAACAGAATTCCTTTTCCTCAATATCGTCTCACTTTCATTTTATCTGCTTTCAGGCCCTGTTTATTTTCAGTGTAATTGTATATGGCAAACTGACCTACAAGCGGTCTTCGGATGTCTACGAATTTCCGCAGTATTCTGTGATGGTTGGGTGGCTGCTTGCTTCCTGTAGCGTGATCTGCATTCCAATCGTCGCAGTCTATCGAATAGTAAAAGCTGAAGGAACGTTCTTCCAGGTATGCTAAAGTCCTTTTGGAAATACTTCTGTCCCATTTTAATGCTTTAACATAACCTGTGTCAATTGACCACGAGTCTAACCTGTTTAAATGCTTTCGGGTTGAGTTTCGCCTTTCCAAAACGCACATTCGGATGTATCACAATCCAAACAGGTGACATGATTTATCAATCTTACGTATGTTAGAAATGATTATGTGGCTTTTGCCTTTAACTTGCATGTATTGAGCCCTAAGGAGTTTTTTTAATAACCCTTTACAGCGCATTAGACTTTTGTGTCAACCGAATTTGACAAAGTCAGCACTGCTGCATTTGGAGGAGTCGGACGATTTCTCGAAAAGTAAGTACCACGGCCTTCAAATTTTTTAACTCTTTTTTCACTAACAAACCTTCAATTATTTCCATCGGACTTTGTCGATCAGATAATCATCACTCGAATATATCCGGGCTGATGGGAGACGAGTTAAATATGAATTTCATGTTTTTGTTTTGGTGAAAAAACTTAATCACGAGGTAAACTGTCACCTAGAACACAAAGTCAACAGTTTAAGGGAGTAGGTGAGAATATATGGCACAGACAGCCGTGGACCGGAAATTAAGCCTGGTTTAATCGTTACGTCGCGCAATTCTTGTTTTCACCGAAAAGTACTTGCATCCAAAACGTCCTAATGAAAATGTATTACTTTTGAAGCCTCATTCCCAAAACACTGGTTTCCTATTGTGCCAATCCAACGAGTTGCCACAATTTACGTGTATTCACACAGAAATAATTTCAAATTTAACAGTCAATGCCGTCATGTGGAAAGAGTACTACTCAAGATGCCACACAAACAGGCAACGGGGTGATTCACTGGTTGAAAGAGTGCCCTGCGATTTTATACACCCTAACTCAAAGATCCGTATTTAATCATTGATATTTTATGGTTCAAGTGCTATTTATCTTTTCCTCTTAAGATCTCGACGTGTCGGACAAAACAGACCAAAATGTATTTGAATCTATGGAGCTGCCGGATGGAAGCCTGTCGCAGAGTCTGGACTCATTTGGGCGTCAGCTTTAGACGTTGCGTCACTCTCTCACCATCTTGTTCACAGGGCATCATATCACGTCTTTTTGAAAACGTTACTATTTTATATGCTCGCATTTTACTTGAGTTTCTCTTTACCTTATCCTAAGCATTGATAAACAACCACGCACGAGACTACAAATGTTTGTGCGTGTAGTTTTAGCTACCAGCTTACTATTAAAGGCATATCTTACCTGTCGTTATTACTTACGTTTTGACAAAGTGAAAACTCAGTTTGAAATTGACCACTGTTTGAACTTCATGATATTAGTGTTAATCAGTAATACCATTCTAGAGTAAATCGTATTGCCAGACAAGGTCGGTTACGTGTCTGCGACTTTTAGGTCCACCATCAGACTGATCAATGCACGGAAATTGTACATGAGACAAAAACCACCATAAAATTTGGCCAACAGTGCACCAAAAATAGCTCAACGCAGCTGTCTGTTTGAATGAACATAATATTTTGCTGGCTTGAATCCGTTGAAGTCTACAAATAGCCGCTTCACGTTCACAAACTTGCCAAGGAACTAGATTTGTGTTAGCAAATGAAGCTCGCTTGTAATCGCAATCAGTTAGAGAGACAAGCTTGTGAACATTGTCGTAACCATCAAAAACCACTCGAAACTAGAATCATTGGCTAAGGCACGCGCATTGTTGCGTTTGTCAAGAACTTGTCTCGGATTACCTAGATCTGTGAAGTCGGATTCGGTAGTTGGTGATATAATTATCTTTAGGGTTGTCACTGACTTCTCCAGTATTTAACTTCAGCTCAGAGTCGAAGCGGTTGGATTAGAATCCTCCATTGCCACCCTTAGACAGTATCATGAAGTGATAATCGACGTCTTCAACTCTGATGTTGATGAACCTGGTAGCAAATTCTATGGCCAACAACAGGAGATAACCTGTAAAAGTCTCCACACAACTGTGTTTACATGTTTCTAAGAACTAAGCCGTCGCATATCTTTCCATGACTTGGAAAGCAAGCTTTAAACATTTAAATTCGCCGATACAGTTAAATCAGCTTACAAGCGTCTTAACATATCTGATTTTTCTGATTTGAATCATCACTATTTTCATGGATTAGTATATAGCAAAACGTGCTGTTTAACATCCATGAGCTCGACCGTCGCAGTCTCAGACACAAGTCTCGCCCTTCACTGCGTGCGCGTCGCCATGCTGACCACCTGCTCATTCACACCTGTGCATATACCACCACTACCCGTTTTATCCGTCTGACCATTCAGGCATTTGTAATTTTGCTAATCCACGCAGACTGGCCCAGTCAACAAAAACACATGAGTCATGCACTACCTTAAATGTGCGAGCACACGGAGTCGTAACACAACTTGGTTGACCTATCTAGTAGCCGGGTTTCGCCTCACCCCCAGTCATCTTCGCGGGTATCAGGGTAGCACGACTGAGCTAGATTAAACATGCCGAGCCCCAAACAGATCCTTGGGAATGATAATGATAAAACTAACACCAGCGAATATTCAACATTGCAGACATTGTGCCATTAATGACGAATCCGGCTATGCCAAATCGATATCCGGATAGGCTAACAAGACCAGGGCAGCTGTGGACAGAAACACGAATTCAAAATTGGGTGACTCAACACACAGAGGTGGGTGTTGCCGTGTTTCCGTGTGCACGCACAAGATCGTGAAAACGTACGAGTCAGATGCGTGTGCACAAGGGGGCGTATGTGCCCACACGGATGCATTCTCAGACGTCTACGAAAGACAATGGGGAGGCAGTGCAGTGGGCGGGTGAGTGGTAGCTGAGCGGACACACGGATTTTTGGAAGGGGCTGTGTTATCAAGGGGTGTCTGGAAAGGAGACAACTTGGATGATTGACGTGGGTCGACGCAGTCTTCTAGAGTGTATTAAGCAAGATAAACTTCCTCTCAATTTCAATTAATTGAAAGGACGTTTTTTTCTTTTTAATTAAAAAACTGGCTGAATAGGATGGACCAAGCCCCCTCCCTCTGAGTCCATGGAATATAACAAAAAAACCACCAAAAGGAATTATATCCCTTGGAAGATTTGTTCATAATGGTCCACTTGAAAAATTTGAAATCTGTAACCTTCTGTCCTACAATTGTTTTCAGCCTACTTCAAAATTTGTTCTGGTGTCGCTGATACAAACATTTATTTTAGTCGGCTATGTAACCATGGTGACAAACTTGTGTCATCCTCCACCCTCTTTAAACCAGCCGTCGTTTGTGCGAGCAACATAAATTTGGGTGTTAGAGACTAGCAGACAGTCGTGGATAAAACGTTCAGTTTGTTTTAGAATTAGCAAAACTTGGAGATGTTGCATTTGATGAGTCTTGCTGCTGTTGCGGAAGGTCTTCCAGTCGACCTAACCGTTAGCTCAGAAAAGGCCACTTGTTTGAAACAGAAAGAACAAAAGCAGACAAGTGTTGTTGATTTAAAAGGAATAAGGCACGTGTGCAGTAATATTCACACCACGAGGAGAGCCGCACTAACACTCACGGATTTGCGAGGTACGTGTTAACCCAACAAAGGTGAGTACGATTTCCGGCTTCGCATCCGTAGACTACAAAGCCAGAGCGTTTGGTGTAGTTTCTGATGCGACGAAGCGGCGTTAGCCCGGTGATCCCCTCATCCCTCACCAAACAGGGGCGGGTACTCATCAGAGTGGCAGCCATCACTGTTTTGAAATAGAACGCTAAGAAAAGGATACATTTTTCCTTTTGCCATCCGTAATTGTCAACACCAAAATCCCGTGTTCCACTTAACGTTTATCACAAAGGACAGTTGCTTTTGCAAGTGACCTCAGGCCTCATTGCACATGTATGCTGCAAGAGGTCTCTGTTAATTAAACCAAGACCTGCAGTGGAAAAACTGCAATATAATCACATGTTAATCAGCCTCCTGGCCTGAAGTCTACCATCACGGTTTTTTTCATGGTTGAGGAATACAGTCAACAAATCCAAAAGCATCTTATTAAAAAGCCCTTATTCGCCTCTAATGCGTCGCAAGAGTGGCATGCATAACCGGCGTTTGTCATTTATTGAAATCGGTTACACACCACGTAATCACTCTTAATGTTCCTGTCTCAATTTACGCAACTAAGCAAGCACTGTGGATATGGAAACAAGATTTGCCAAGGGTGTTTGTAACCGTTTACATTTGTAATTAGCATTTACTTGCATTATAGAAAGTGACGGCGTGGCTTGGGGTATCATGAAAAAAGCTTCCAAAACCCTCTTATAGCACCTTTGACTATACACTTTAAGTGAATCCGCTTTGAAATTACTAAATCAGCAATCTAGGAGCCCTAAATATATTTGATATGGCGAGCAGATGTGTGCGCCTACCACGAGACTCCGTTTCAGTCCCGACTTTTTGCTTTGAGAGCTGGACGTGTGCAGATTTCTGTGGATACTCACTGGACCTAAAATTTTCCACAGCCCTGATCAGCGGGTCTCATGACCTTTTGTCGCACATTTACACTCCCCGCGTACTTGTGTGCATTCTTTTCGTTGACAGCATGGTATTTTTCTTTGTTCTGAAAGAATACCACGCTAGTGCATAATTAACCTACGCAAGTTTACCAGTTCAGGGTCCTAGTTAAGACCATACCAATGATTATCTCCAATAATTTTTGGTCTTACCAGACAATGTCTACCTCAGTGAAGGAAAACGCAGTGCCAATGTCAAACATTCGTGTTTCCCTGGGACCACGCGAGTAAACGAGAAGCTTTCGGAGTTTGCAAAATGAAGATGATTGTGTATTTATTAATGCAATTCCGGGCAAAAGACACAGAAATGGCGACGCCGTCTGAAACCGATTCAAGCTGATCAACAGCTTCCTGGCTTACATTATAAACAACAGTAGCTAGATAAAAAGTAACTTGATGGATGCTGCCCACATAAGAGAGGATACTTCAAGGACGAAGGCGGAAATCGAAGCATCTATTTTTCGGACTCTAAGTGAGGCTCACAAGGCGGAATGTACACTCCTTCGATGTGTAGTTCGAAAGAGCTTTGGTTACTCTGCGGTTTCTGATGGTGCATGATTACGGCCTCCTTGCCATGTAGGGAGAAGCTCAGTTGGGAGACCGTGTCTTCCATTGTTGTCTGAAAAGGTATGAGTTTAAGTCACGACAAGACCAGCCCCTTATTTTTGAAGCCATTAATGCACAATGCTTTATTTAATTTTAGCAATTACTCCGCTTGAACAAGCCAGACAAAAGGCATTTATTTTGTAACTCTACGACGGACAATAAAGCAATAAATTCCTCCGAACCTTGGTACCTTGCATTCACTGCAAGCAATTGATTTCAAATTCATTACTCCGTGACATTAAATCCCTGAGCAGAAACGGATTATTTAACGTCGAATTCAACGTCACTCCTACTTCGGCTAACTTGATAGAAGCAGATAGCTCTACATGAAAACCCCTGCAAATATGGAGAATTTCGTAAATGTATGTTTTAAAGGTTACGCAAAAAACAGCTAAGTCTTGATATACGCAAGTGTTTCGCAGTATATCATTTACAAATACAAAAGGGAATAGCAAGTGCCAATTTCGTTAATTTCTGTGAGAGGTCTAAGAGCTTGTCCAGTTGACGAAGTGATGCCACTTTAGCTGCAAATTAAAGTGGAACTTACAACGTATTCAAGTCGTTCATCTTCAAACCACAGATCCATGGAAGATCTTCCTAAATGCAACACAAGTACATGATTTCATCAATTTTTAATTTTGCTAAGGGTCAAGCTGTTAAACGGCCAACATTAAGTAATATACCAATAAAAGTGTATACTAAATCCTCACGTCCAGGGTCTATCGACATATGCAAACAAGTGAGATTTTTTGCCGTACGATGAGCGAAGTTGGACATCTACAAATTTATTAGGTATTCAAGAAATTGACAAGGAAAGCTGTTACAAACTGTACTATTGTACGTGGAAACATTCCTTGTAAGAGTAAAGTGAGGGTTTCAAATCCAACAGGTCAA